CAGGTTGAGCTGTTGTTCAGCATCTTAGCTGTGGAGGGCAGTGTCACTGGCCCTCATATGTGGGATCCGAACTGGGGCCCTCTGGCATCCCAAGCGAGTTCTTAACCATCGCGCCACTCGGCCGGCCCAAAAATAAAATCTTTACTATATGCTTCATTAAGTTTTGATAATTAGAAACCTAAGTTATGAGGAGAAAAACAAAATTTTAACTTATGTGAGTTAATGAAGCACAAGTGAATGCCGAATTAAAGCACAGACTGAGGGGTCTGCTTTCACGCCACACCTCACTGTGCATCGCAGCCAGAGTTCAACGACACACTGATGCATTTCAGGAATGTTTGTGTTACCTGTGAATGGGAGGATCCATGTGAAATTGATAAATCCACCATTTACAATTTAAATGCTACAGAGTCAGCCACAGAACTGTGTATACAATATGATACCAATTATGTCAGGGAAAAGCGCACATGCATAGGTGACATAAAGACTGGAGGGAAATGTATACTCATAGTTGTTACTCTTGGTAGTATGATGGAGGTTGATTTGATTTTTTTCTGTATACTTTCAAATTTTTTTAGTGATCATATTTATCTTTTACATATGATCAGATAAAAACCAATCATTTTAAAAGTAGCACTCTCATATAATACAGTTGTTTTTCCTGGGCCTTAATAAATACGCATGTAAAAATAGAACTCCCTTATGATCCAGCAATTCCCATTCTGGGTATTTATCTAAAGAAAAGGAAAACACTACTTCAAAAAGAGGTGTGTACACCCCATGTTAATTGCAGCATTATTTACAATAACCAAGATAGGGAAGCAACCTAGGTGTCCATTGACAGATGAATGGATTAAGATGTCACACACACACACACACACACACACACACACACACACACACACACAATGGAATATTACTGACCATAAAACGAAATGAAATCTTACCATTTGCAACAGCATGGATGTACCTAGAGGGTATTGTGCTGAGTGAAATAGGTCACACAGAGAAAGACAAATACCATATGATCTCACTTACATACAGACTCTAAAAACCAAATGAACAAACAAAATGAAACAAAGTCATAGATACAGAAAACTAATGGTTGCCAGAGGGGAGGAGGGTTGGGAGGTGGGCAGAAAAGGAGAAGGCGCTTAAGAAGTACAAACTTCCAATGATTAAATAAGCCATGGGGATGTAATGTACAGTATAGGGAAGGAATATAGTCAATAATATTGTAATAACTGTTGGGTTGTCGGAAAAGTTATGATGTATTTTTTCTGGTTTTTTGTTGCAAAAATGCATCATGATTTTTCCAACAACCCAATATATATGGTGTCAGATGGGTACTAGACTTATCATGGTGATTACTTCATAAGGCATATAAATGTCTCATCACTATATTGTACACCTGAAACTAACATGTTGTATGTCAACTATAACTTTTAAAAAATTCTTATTTGGGGGTCAGAAAAGCGCTATGGGAAACTTCCTCTGCTGTCAGATGTTCTGCTCAGCTCCAGAGCTGAAGCACTTAGCCTGGACTCAGCACAAGTGAAGTGAGTGCCAGGCACTAGGCTGGATGATATTTTTCTTCCTCACTAACTAACTGATGCCCTCTTGGCAAAATAATTGTTTCATGATGACTCTTTCTTTGACATACGAGTTAGAAAACAGGGCATACAATTTATTGCACAATTTAAATCTTCTTTCTTCTTTCAGGAGATAGACAGGAGAATGACAAAGAGAACCTGAACTTGGAAAATTATAGGGACCAGGAGCCCCCAGCTGCCTCCTGTCACGCCTCAGAAGAGGTGCCTTCCCAGGCCTCTTTGAGCGGCCTCTTCTGTGAGGATGAGCCGAGACGCTTTGGAGAAGGAGCGACTCTTCATGAGGCTCAGGAAAACCTTCAGGACGAGGGGATAGGGGGACAGCTCTCTCCTCAAGAAAGGAATTCTGGGAAACAGCTAGGCCATCATTTGCCTAATGCTTACCCAGGAGAACTGTCCATGCTGTGGCTGGAGGAGGCCAGAGAGGCCCCCCCGAAAGGGCAGCTGAGAGCCCCCATGGCCCAGAAACTCCCCACCTGCAGGGAGTGTGGGAAAAGCTTTTACAGGAATTCTCAGCTTGTTTTTCACCAAAGAACTCACACCGGAGAGGCATACTTTCAGTGCCCCACATGCAAGAAAGCCTTTCTGCGGAGCTCAGACTTTGTGAAACATCAGAGGGTTCACACAGGAGAGAAGCCCTGTAGATGTGACTACTGTGGGAAAGGCTTCAGTGACTTCTCGGGATTGCGCCACCACGAGAAGATCCACACAGGAGAGAAGCCCTATAAATGTCCCATCTGTGAAAAGAGTTTTATTCAAAGATCAAACTTCAATCGACATCAGAGGGTCCACACAGGAGAGAAGCCGTATAAATGTTCCCGCTGCGGGAAGAGTTTCAGCTGGAGCTCGAGCCTTGACAAACATCAAAGATCCCATTTAGGAAAGAAGCCCTTCCAGTAGCCGTGCTCTCAGCCTGTCGCTATCTCCTGGCCCATGAAAAAGCACTTCATTCCATCAGGAGACATCGCATCTCCTACAGGACGTCCCTGGTCTCTCTTTTTTGCACGGATTAGAGAGGAGAGTACCTGAACATGGATTTGGATTGGCGGATATACCGGCCTGTGGATTGGATATCACGCTGGTTTAATTGCTTGCTTCTGCATCAGGAGGAAGAATAGTCACCTTTCATCTCATCTCTCCTTTTGGGAAGAGATGGGAAAAACTGTCCGTTTTAGAGAGATCCCGTTTTAGAAGTGCTGCCTGGGAAGAGTTGAACTGGATTAGCCACAGGCGCTGCTCACAGGAAGAACCTTGGCTTTGGAACTGGGATCTAGAGCAGGCGTTGTTACAAAACGGGGAGCATAGAGAGCCAGTGAGCTCACATGTGTTATTTGTTATACGGGTGCAAGATTAACACTGAGTGTCCCCCTGTTTTAAGTAAACTTAGCAGACTCTCTCTTATTTGTGTCTGAAGCGTCCACTGTGTGTTGACTGTAACTCAAAATATGGTTTCTCATATAAGACCCTCAATGGTAGTTGAGCTCCTAGATCATCCCGTACAAACCTATCGAGTTTATCACCCAGATGAACAGGATAAGAAAGTGTGAGCCTGGTGCCCGGATGTGACAGCTTGGCCAGTGCTGGGCATTCTTGGTCTCAAGTCTGCCTCTGGTGTGGGGCAGACAGAGCCCGCCGCCCACTTGCTCGCACACCTCAAGCCGCCCTTCTTTCTCCTGGCATCCCACTTAGGCTATCATTTCTGCCAAAGTGTTCTGCACTTTAAAATTATCTTATTTCATTTTGTCTGTAGCTGTTAGGAAGAAATCAATAGTATTGATGTAATTTATAGTATTGTGCAGAGGTTTATTAACATATATATCTAACCTGCCCCCTTGTCCTTGTCTTCAAAAGTTACATGCCCCGAAGTGTCCTGCTTGCGTATAATGAGACTTCCACCTTCCTCCCACCAGGGTCCTCTCTGCGCCTGCTCTTATTTCACTGTTTTGGGTGAGGATCAGGGAGAATGGTGTGAATGAGGCCGACAGAGCTATCCCTGAAAATGAACCTGTAGGCGAGAGACTGCTGGTTGTTGGCAACCAATGGGAAGGACACTCACTGCTGGTCGATGAGACAGAACCGAAGTCGGAATTCCTGGATTCCAGAGGCATTTGCTAACATTCCTATAGCATAAAGATAAGTAAGGCCTCTCTCTCTTTAGGGGATGCAGGAACCCCCGGGCAGAAAGCAGGAAAATCATGGAGGAATTGGCATTAGACTCTGCATTCTGCATAGCAGAGATTTGTAGGCTGGAGGGTTTTATGTTTTAAATCAGTACTCAAAAGTGTGGCTCTGGGAACAGCAGCATGGGCAATTTGTTAGACTTCCTGAGTCATAAATCTGAAGGGCGGGGCCCAGCAGTCTTTCTTTGAACAAGCCCTCCAGGGGATTCTGATGCCTGCTCAAGGTAGCAGTTAATCCAGAGAAAGTCTGCAAGGCAAGGGTATGTGGGAATGGTGATCCGCAAAGCGACCCTGGGCCCTCCCAGACTGTTTTTTACCAAACAAGCCTCCCCATAGAGCCCTTTAAAACTCATTAAAACTGGGGGACTCCTTGGTATCCCAGAGCAAATTTATTCCAGAGGAAATTCTACAAAACTAGGTTAAACAGCTCTAGGTAAAGGGTTTCTCCATGGGTCCCTCCTAAGGATCTGACAGATAAGACAGCGGTTCTCAACCTTTCACAGGGGTCGCCTAAGACCATCGGAAAACATATTTTTGATAGTCTTAGGAACCGAGACACTGCTCCTCTATCTGTCTCCAGGCCCACATGCAGATACACCCACACACGTGTACCTGGCGACCCCTGTGAAAGGGTCGTTCGACCCCCAAAGAGGTCGCGACCCACAGGTTGAGAACTGCTTATCAGATAAGAGATACAGGAAACAACCTGTCCTTCAGTTCAGTTATGTTGTCAGCAAATAGACGTTAGATAAAAATTGATTGGATGTGTGAATTAATGAAGAATACTATATATATTTATACACATATACAAACAGAGGGTGCCAAAAAAATGTATACACATTTTAAGAAAGGAAAAAACCGTATTAAAATTGTAATAATATATACCGATAACAAAAGATGACTACAGGTCACGTGTATACATGTTTTTGGCATCCCCGGTATATCACCCTTGTCCTCTAGAGTAGTGATCAGCAAAATATGGCCCACCACCTGTTTTTGTAAATGAAGTTCTGTTGGAATGTGGCCACGCCCATTTGCTTCTTGTCTCTGGCTGCTTTGGGGCTATAGTGGCAGAGCTGAGTAGTTGCAACAAAACAATATGTTCTGCAAAGTCTAAAATATTTACTGTGATCCTTTACAGAAAGTTTAGTGACCCCCAGTCCAAAGTAATGTTTCTCAAATCATAATGTGCCTACAGATCATCTGGGGAGCTTGTTAAAATGCAAACTGATTTATGGGTGATGCCAATGCCGCTAGTCTACGGAGCAGCTGGGACCTCGGGCACCGGGAGCGGCGCCATGTAACCATGTCAGGCCCAGGTGTACTCGGATCATTTATCACGCTGCAGCTCTCAAAGCCCAGGCCAGACACAGCTGGAGAATAAATCACTTTATTAGCACAGGCTCAGTGTTCTGAAGTGCCTCGTCCCTAGCTCCTGGGTCCACACTGCCCAGCTCAGCCTCACTTTCGGCACTTCTCTCCGAGTTCCCTAACAGAACTGTACAGAGTTGGGAGTGTTATGCTCTGTCTGTGGTCCCCCTCACACACTTGTTCCTTTGGGGAGTCTCCAGCCCAGCCTGGCTTTCTCAGCGGCGCTGCAGGAAGCTAAATCTGGAGAAGCAAAGCTACTCCAGCCAGAACCCACTTTGATGGCTTCTCCTTAGTCTTCAGGTTGAAAGTCCACACGTAGGTGGGTCCCCGCTGACAAGTCTTGTACACAGGACAAGGATAGACACCGCGGCCATCCTGCTTGTCTGCAGGGATGGCCCTGATGAACACCACGGGCATGGGGGGCGTCAGGTCCTTCAGCTTCGCCTCCGCAATGATCCCAGCCTGAGGACAAGAACACGAGAAGAGCCACCTTAGATCAGACCCAGAGCCCAGCTGGCCAGCGTTCCTGGCAGAAGATCCAGGGGATGCGCCTGGGCAGGGCTGGCGGCTTTGTGCCCAACCCCTCACGGGTCCTCTCAGCGAGCCACGATGGATGCACTCCTACATGGAAAACATATGGCTGCTGGTTTCTGGCTGAAATCACTCTGAAGGAGAGTTCCAAAAGCTTGGTATTTATCACATACAAATGAATCCTTCTGAGCTCAAGTCTCTCCTAGTTTTATTGTTCATTCATTTCATAAGCATATCGAATGTAACTATTTGCCAGATGTGCTGGGAATTTGAAAATGAGTAAGACACAGCTACCAGCAAATACTTTAGATTTTAAAGCTTTGGTTATGCCCTGTTCCAGTTTCTTATGTGACCTCATCCGCCCTCTGGAGCATTTTGACTTTTTTGAGCAGAGGGAGCTATGTTCATCTTTACTCCTGGAATAGGGACCTGGCCTTTCCATAGCTCTCCAGTTAGGGCCTCTATGATTTTCTGAGATGTCTCAATAGAGCCTTCTAGGGCAGTTTTTCCTACTAGTCCTGAGAAATGCCCTGAGAAACAAAAGGGTTCCTTTATCAAATAAGCTTGGGAAATGATGCTACCATACCCTGGACTTGAAGCTTTACAGTGTATGCCAGTACACTGAAGACAAGGAAAGTCCTAGCAGTAAACAGCTTAACTTTATTTAACCTGGTATTTCCAAACTTAACAACAAGACCCTTTTCTTTGCAATCTATTCATTTCCCATTGCACAAGTGTCTTAGGGAACATGCTTTGGGAAATGCTGACCCTGGGTGATTCACAGATTCCTTGCCTGTGTCCACGTGAACTCTGGGCCCCGTTTGCTATGAAGAGACTTTGGTTTCTTTTCCATGACATTTATTTAAAGCTAAGGACGTGTCTCTTCTGCTCTGTTAGAGGCTGATAAGAGGCATGATGAGTAACAGAACTAAGGGAAACAATGGGGACCCCCCTGCCCCCGCTATAATAGTGTTTATGGCAGGGAGTGGGAGCAGGGGTAGAACCTTTTTTCCCACATACCACAAAACTATTTTAAAATGTACAATTTAATGTTTTTTAATGTACAATCATCACTTTCTAATTCCAGAACATCATCACTTTCTAATTCTACAACATTTTCACCACCCCCAAAAGAAGCTGTAACCATTAGCAGTCGGGTGACATTTCTAATTATTATGTTTGAATTCTCTATTTAAATGGCATATTTTTTCATCTGTTTACTTTTAGCCTATTAGTGTCTTTGAATCTAAAGTGTGTTTCTTGTAGACAGCATATAGTTGGATCACTTTAAAAAATGCATTCCGCCATTCTTTGCCTTTTAATTTTAGTGTTTAATCCATTTACATTAATGTAATTGCTGATAAGGTAAGACTTACATCTGCCATTTTACTGTTTGTTTTCTGCCTTATGTCTTATTTGTTCTTCTGTTCCTCCATCACTGCCTTCTTTGGTGTTAAACAGATATATAGTAGTGTGTTATTTTAATTCCCTTGTTATTTCTTTCACTATATTTTAAAAATTATTTTTCTTAGTGGTTTATAAATTAACATCTTAATTTATAAAAATCTTAATACCAACTTGATTTCAGTAGTATACAAAAAACTGTACTCCTATATAGTTCCATTCCTTCCCCTTCCTGTGTTTAAGAACTTGTACTCTTTTCATCATACAAATGCTATTTATTACATTTTATACCTGTCAACTCAGATATATAATTATTGCTTTACTCAGTTGTCCTTTAAAACAGTCAGGAGAAAAATAAAAGTTATATTGTCAAAAAATTCATTTATATTGTCTTTTATATTTACATATGTAATTACCTTTACTAGTACTCTATTTCTTCATGTGGACTTGAGTTACTGTCTAGTGTCCTGTCATTTCATCCTGAAGGACTCCTTAGTATTTCTTGTAGGGCTGGTCTGCAAGTAAGGAATTCTCTCTCTCACTTTTTTTTTTTTAACTGGGAAAGTCTTACTTTTTCCTTCATTTTTGAAAGATAGTTTTGCTGGATTAGAGTTCTTGGCTGAAGGTCTTATTCTTTCAGCACTTTGTGTAATTCCATTGCCTCTGGCCTTCATGGTTTCTTATGAGAAATCAGCTGTTACTCTCATTGAAGACCCTTTGTAAATGATGAATTGCTTTTCTCTTGCTGCTTTCAAGATTTCCTTTTTGTCTTTATCTTTAAACAGTTTGATTATAACATGTCTAGGTATGGATTTCTAAATTTATTTTATTTGGGTTTTGTGGAGCTTCTTGGATGTATAGATGAATGTTCTTCATCAAATTTGGAAAGTGTTGGCCATTATTTTGTCAAATATTCTTTCTCTTTTTCCTTCCTTCTGGGACTCCCTCTAGGCATATGCTGGTATGCTTGATGGTGTTCCTCAGGTCTCTAAACTGTTCACTTATCTTCATTCTTTTTTCTTTCTGTTTCTCAGACTGGTTAAACTCAATTGATGTATTTCCAAGTTTAGGGATTCTTGCCTACTCAAATCTACTGTTGAACTCCTTTATTGAATTTTTGTTTCAGATATTATACTTTTCAACTCCAGATTTACTACTTAAAAAAATTATATCTCTTTATTAATATTCTCTATTCAGTGAGACATTGTTCACATACTTCCCTTTAGTTATTTAGACCTGGTTTCTTTTAGCTCTTTGACTATACAGTAAAACCTTGGATTGCGAGTAACTTGGTTTGCAAGTGTTCCACAAGATAAGCAAACATTTCTATTAGGTTGGTGCAAAAGTAATTGCGGTTTCTGCCATTACTTTTATACCAACCTAATAATACATTTTAACTTGGTAAATGAACGATGTCTTGCAATACAAGTAGTTTGGGAGCCAGCAGAGTGGCGCGTTGGTTAAGAGCTGGCTTGGGACGCCAGCTCTGAGCAGCAGGGCCCCGGTTCGGATCCCACATGAAGGCCAGTGACACTGCCCTCTACAGCTAAGTTGGTGAACAACAGCTTGACCTGGAGCTGGGCTGCTGGGAGTCGCCGGCTACGGCATAGGCTTCAGCCCCTGCTGCAGTGGGTTGCCATGGGCTACCGTAAGTGGCCAGCAGCCTGTGTGAGCTGCCAAGCGCTGCCGTGAGCGGCTGTCCAGAGTAGGGAAGAGCACAATGATAATACCAACATGGGCCAGTGAAGCAACGTCCTCCACAACTAGACTGAAGAGCAAAAAGGGCAGCAACTTGTCTGTTCCCCTCCCCCAATTCCCCAATAAAATCTTAAAAAACAAAAAAAACCCAAGTTGTTTGTTTCCATAATGAATTATGCTCACTAACCAAAGTATTACTGTATTTAAAATAGCTGATTAAAAGTCTTTTTCTAGTATGTCCAGCTTCTTACTTCCTCAGGGACCAGATTCTGTTGACTGCTTTTTTTCCAAGTGTATGAACTAGTCCTTTTTGTTTCTTTGCATGTCTCACAATTTTTGGTTAAAAACCAAGCATTTTAAATAATAAAATATGGGAACTGTGGGAATCAGATCTCCCTGTATTGGACTTTTGTTGTTATTTAGTGATTTTTCTGAACTGATTCTTTAGTCTGTATTCTTGGTCATGTGTGGCCACTGAAGTGTCCTGCTCAGTTAGCCTGGTGGTCAGCAAATAATTGGACAGAATTTTTTAAATGCCTAGAACCAAGAAGTCTCATAGTTTTTGCTCAGGGGCTCTGTGTGTGTGTTGGGGACATGCCTTCAATGCTCAGCCAGACAATTTAAAACTCTGCCTTAGCCTTCACTTCCTGCTGTCACAAAGCCTCAAGGTTAGCTACAGGTGAGAGCTTATGGCCTTCTCAGGTCTTTCTTGAGCACGTACACAGCTCTGCTCATGGGCATAGCCTTCTAGTTTTCTAAGAAAACAGTGGAGGTTTTTAAAGTCCCTATGAAAGTCTTATTTTCCCCGCTTCTCCTTTTAAGCTTTTTGGGTATCCCTTGATTTGCTCCACTGTTACCTACTGCCTCCGGCAAGCTTCAGTGTTAAACAGTTGTCTTTGATTATTTTCAGTAAGTGCTCTTGGGGAAAGACTGTTGCCCTGGGCGAGCTCTTACTCAGGCTAAGTAAAGACAGACTTGTGAGTGGGGTCTTCTAGGAAACCACCAGACAGGGAACATAATGACAGTTTTCTGGGAATGGGGCTTTGAAACACTACAACTCTGTTTTGCCTCCAGTGGCTGCTAGGCTGCTGTTTTCACTGTGACTGTGGCCTGTTGGTTGTCAAGGCTCCCACAGAGTTTGGAGGTAAGGGGTGGGAATAGGGCAAGTCAAAAGGCCATGTGGCTGGCTCTTCTTACAGAGATTCAGCCAGTTTTCTTCAATAAACACTCCTTGGATTCCTGGAAGCCTTTGGTTAATTTCCAGAGTTCTGAGAAGGTTGATTCTGACATTTTTTGGCCAGTGTTATTATTTGATGGAGGAGAGGACTTGTGGACATCGTTACTCTTCCATTTTTGCTGAAATCTTTCTGGGATAGACACTGTGAGAATAGGAGCTTTTGGCAGGTATTGCTTTTTGGAAAGTTTTTATTATTATTACTTAGAAACAAGGTAATGAAAAATTGGAGGTAGATGATTGAAATCAATATCCTTTTTTCTCCCCACAGTGCCACTGCTCTTCCTTTTGAGCTTCTTTCCTACTGTTTTTCTTTTTTAACTTCTCTCATTTTGGCATTTTTGGTATCCTTGCTCCAGCTCTCCCCTCACCACTGTACCCCTAGTACAATCCATGTGTGATCTCCACTGACAAAATCTTGTACAAATGTTCAGGTGGAGATAGACAAGTCAGCTTCCTTCTCAAGGCTCAGGCTGTGTAAACACTGTTCCACTTTACCGTCCTTTCTGTTGGCATTTGATTGGTTTCCTAGGGCTGCTGAAACAAATGAGCACAAACTTGGTGGTTTAATGCAACAGAAATGTATTCTTTCAAGTTCTGAAAGCCAGAAGTCTTAAATCAAGGTATAGGTAAGGTTTGCTCCTTCTGGAGGCTCCGAGGCATAAACTGTCCCATACCTCTTCCTTGCTTCTGGGTGCTGGCAATCCTTGGCATTCCTTGGTTTGTAGATGCATCACTCTAATCTCTGCCTCTGTCTTCACAGGGCATTCTCTTCTGTGTCTCCAACATGGCCTTCTTATAAGGATACCAATCATTGGATGCAGGACCTACTCTACTCTGTTATGATGCTATTTCCAAACAAGGTCACATCCTGGGGTTCTGGGTGGACATGAATTTTGGAAGGACACTATTCAACCCAGTACAGCTCTACAGGTATATTTACATGGCCTTCTAGGATCTTCTAGGTCTTCTCTAACAGTTTTCCACCATTCGCTTGATATTGCCTCTAAGAATAATCTAGTGTCACTTGCCAAGTAAGATATTGGACTGAGTGCTCCTGGATCATGTGTACAACAAATGTAAATTTGTTCTAGAGTAATTATTGTCATTTATCCTGGCCATCTGTGCTTGTTTGCCAATTTCCTAACCACGATAAACAGCTCCAGTCTTATGGTAACTCAAATTTTTATTAGCTTTCAGTGAGGAATCCTTTCAAAATGTCATATCTACTGGCTCCCCTTTGCTGACAGGGGACGATGCAAAAGGTAGAAGGGATTCCTGACCTCCTAGAGCTTATGAATGAGGGAAGTAGACCAAGGAGGTGAAATGCTATCCCCAGGTCACACAGCAGCAGGGATCACTGACTCCAACACTTTGACCCCTCCCTATGTGCCAGGTGCTATTCTAAGTGTCTTGCCTATACACTCATTTAATTTTCATAGCAACTGTGTTTTCTCATTTAATAAGGAAACTAAGATTTGGAGAGGTAGAACTACAGCCCAAAGTCACAGAGTTAATTAATGGTGGTGCTAGGAATCAGATCTCACCCATCTGGCTCCAAAGCTGTTGTTTTTAACCACTCTATTCTGTTCACTTTGCAAAGCCTGTGCTCTTTGCACCAACCCAGGTTGCATAAAAATGACTTGCCAGCCTCAAGGAAAGGTTATCTAGGTCAAAAGGTTCAGGGGCATCCCTTTTAGTAACTGTACTTTATGGGAGGCAGTGTTCATTTAATCATTTCCCAAAAGATGTCCCTTGGGTGATCCCAGGATTTACCTGTACATCCCAGCGAGCACCTTCCATGAAGAGGCCGTAGATGTAGGCCCCTTCCCGAGGAGGGCTTCTGAATTCCTCTCTGTTCTTCTTTGTCACATCACATTGCAGGGCCATCTGGTCCAGTGGCCACTCGTTCTTGCGGGCCATGGACTGCATTATGGCGGTCAGGAAGGACTGGGGGTTGAAGAAGCCTGTCAGCCACACGGTGGAGGGCATTGCGAAGTCGCCTACCCAAGCTTCCAGCTCCTTAATTCGGAGTTGGAGGTCCACAAACCAGGCTGCCAGGCCTGCTGTGGAAGGGTAGGCTCGCCTGGCCCAGGGCTCTGGCACTGTGTCTAGGTACAGGGCGTTCTGTACGTTCTCCATGTCACTGGTCATGGTCAGCTCCCCCTGAAGACAAAGAGCAAGAGGGGACAGTGAAGGGGAAGCAAGTCCCTGCAAACAGCTGGCCTTATGCACCTCTGGCTCATAGCTCTCAGATAGATAGGAGATGGCTCCAGGGGTGGGTGACACAATGGCTGTCCTGTCTAGTGCTTGATTTGCAAGGGTCGTCTCATAGAGGCTGGTCCTTTAAATCTCTCCCTGCTCCAGTGATATGAGTCTATATCTATCTACCGACAGTAGTGGACTGGTCCACTCTGGACCTCAAACCACCAGTGAGTTAGTTCCATGCTGATTCAGTCCTACCCTAAAGCTTGGGCTCCTTGATTCTCCTCCAGCCTTTGTAGTAGCCCTGCAGGCTCTTACGCGCAGCTCAGAAACACAGGAAGCTAAAGCCCAGAGGATCTATCTATATTCCCCCAACTCAAGGATTTCCTTCAGAAATCAAACTATTAGACACATAGTGAACTTTAAGAGACCCTCTTCCAACAGCTAGATGAAATCTGTAAAGGAAGGTTTACACTGAAAATCTTCTTTAAATTGAACTTTGTAACATTGGTTATGCCAAGGATCTAGCAATATCCTGCAATCTCTATTGCAGTGATTTCCGCACAGGGTTTAGAGTACCCAACAAGGCTTGTGCTATGGTCTGAATATTTGTGTTCCCCCAAATTCATATATTGAAATCCTAACCCCCAGTGTGATGGTATTAGAAGGCTGGGCCTTTGGGAGGTGATTAGGTCATGAGGGTGCAGCCCTCATGAGTGGGATTGGTGCCCTCACAGGAAGAGACTTCGCGAAGCTCCCCTGCTCTTTCTGCCATGTGAGGACAGAGCAAGAAGACGGCTGTCTATGAGGCAGAAAGTGGGCTCTTGCCAGATACCAAGTCTGCCAGCACCTTGACCTTGTTCCCAGTCTCCAGAACTGTGAGAAAAGAAATGTTGTTTCGGCCCCCCAATCTGTGGTATTTTGTTATGGCAGCCTAAGCAGATTGATATACCCCAGAGAAGAGAACCAGAAGAGAGGTCAGTGGGAGAAGTACTGGCAGTGGACTAAAATGATGGCCTTGAAGAGCTGTAAGCCATTTGGTGGGGAGGTGCTTGAATTCGCCTTTGGGGCATGACGAGGGCCTCTTTTCTATGGGAAAACTACCTGATATTCTCTCTGGCACAGAGAGCTGCTAGGCAAGTCCTTACCCACTGTTTTGGGCCTTACACTGTATTCAGTACAGATACTTTAATCCTACTGTGTCTGATCCGATAACCACTAGCCCTATGTAGCTATTTACATGCAAGTAAATTAAATATGAAATGAACTATCAGCTCCTTAGTCACATTAGCTACATTTTGTGTGCTCAGTTGTCACATGTGACCTTATTAGCACAGATATAAAACATTCCCATTATCACAGAAAGTTCTATTGGACAGCTATGGTCTAAACAGAAAGGCTTCGTTTTCTGTTTGGTAATATAAACTGTAGTGTGTGTGTGGTTTTGCCAGGGCTAAAAAGTCCTATATATTGCAGTCTTAAAAAAAGACTGTTCATGGGCAGATGACTGTACAGACTTGCCAAAGTCTGTGGTTAAGGAGATACATACACAAATCAAGACGCATTACAAAAAATAAAGTCCAAAAGACTTAAAAAAAGGTATAGAGGCCATATTTATTTTTCCCTTTAAAATAAAAAAGAAGTTTTCAATGGCCATTTTACTTGCATGATTGTACAATGCTGTTATAAACAATACACCAAAATAAACTGGATTCCCCACAACATTGTGTGGGGTTTTGTTAAAGCTGGGTGCGTCTATGGAAGTATATTGTACATGGGAGTGTTGTCTGCCAAGTGAGTTGACTGGGAGTAAATATCCACTGTCCTGGAGTCATCCTATAACATGACATAACAGAACTGGGTCAGCATTACTGGAAAAAGTGTGATGAAAATATCTCAGTCCTTTGGCTCCTCTTTTGAGGGCAGTGGCAGAGTGAGACAAACAGAGATGAACTCAGATGGGGCTCTGGGCTGTGCCAGGCGCTGTCATTGGCTGTGGGCACAGTGAAGTCCTTTGTTTCCCCATTATCTCCCCTGGCTGAGTCCCCCTCTTAGTCTGCGTTACCATGTTTCATGTGCCACTCCTGAAAACAGTGTGGTCACATGAGCCTCTACTTCTTTGAGTTGCGCTATGATAAGGAATGATGTGCTTAACATTAAAATATATGCAATATAGAGGATTTTTAGGGCAGTGAAACTGTTCACTAAAATACCGTAATGGTGGATATATGTCATTATACATTTGCCCAAATCCACAGAATGTACAACACCAAGAGTGAATCCTAATGTAAACTATGAACCTTGGGTCATCATGATGAGTCAATGTAGGTTCATTCGTTGTAGCAAATGGACACTCTGGTGGGGATGCTGATAGTGGGGGAGGCTGTGTGTAGAGGGGGCAGGGTGTCTACAGGAACTCTCTGTACCTCCTACTCCACTTTGCTGTGAACCTAAAAATGCTCTAAAAAATAAAATCTAACAATAAAAAGATATGTGCAATACTTAATTTTTAACACCCTTCAGAAATCTAAAATCATTCTGATAGTAGAGGAACATAAAATGTGTAACTTGGCTTTCTTAAAAATTTCTCACAGCTGCTTATGAGTATAACTTATTCTGACAATGATTTTGCATTGACTAATTGAATGTGCAAGTGATGGAGCCTTAAAGAATGTATTCTCTCTTAGGTTTTGCCCGTTTGAGAGTGAAGCAGGAACGATTCAGGAAAAGAAGAAATCATTGGCCTTCGAGCTGAAATCTTCTCATGTCATTGAGCAGAGGTAGAAATGACTCATTTTCAGAGGAGGGGCAGAGAAGAAACAAGCGCAGTTCTCGTCCATAGACTTAAAAACTTTTGCCCCTCTGAACTCGGTTGCCATCTCCTTGCACCTTCCCTTTTCCCATGAAGATATTTGTCCATCTCTTTATTCTACCGACTTGCATTAACTGTGCTTCACAAACTTGACTCATCCCAAGAATCGCCTGGCTTCTGGTTAAAAATAGAAGTTTCCAGAACCTGGCTCCAGAGGTTGGTAGGACTGGAGGGTGGAGAGGGGAATGTATATTGTGATAAAACCTCCAGGAAGTCTGATGACCACGCTAATTTGGGGATGTGTCCTAATGAGGCTGGATTTTCATTACAGCATTTGTAAATGGAGATTGCTCTATCTGTCCTCCAGCTCACAGAGGAACCAGGAGAAAAAGGCAATATACACTGTCCTGATAGCTCCTGGGTCACTGTTCTGGCAACACCAGTCACCATATCACTGTGACTCACCTGAGCGGACTCCTTGCTCTGGCCAAAGTTGGTTAAATGTTAGAGCAGGCCTAGGGCTCCTCTCCTGCGAACCTCTGACTCTTCTTTTCACCACCTGCCGTCATTCTACTCTTCCTCCAAAGCCCCCTTGATGCCACTTCTCCTCTGGGGCCTTCCCTGATCCCCCACACTTGTTCCTCCCTTTCTTCTCCCACATCACTATGCAGCATTTAATTAATTCTGCCTTGTATTATAATCAGTTGTGTGCTTGTTTTTCCAAGATTGTCATTCTGGGTGGAAAGACTCCCCTTTCAGTCTCCTTTGCATCCTCCAGCATGGAGGGTGGAGACTTGCCCAAAGAGCTCATCAATCAGCACGGCTTGCATAGGCTGAGGGGAAGGAGAAGGCCCTCCCTGCCCACTTCATTGCTGTCCTGGCACGCTCTGCTATTCCTGACACCCAACCGCAGCGGAGGCTCTCGGAGGAAAAATGAGTGAATGAATCAGAAGTTGAACGGGTAAACAGACTGTGCCAAATCGCATTGATTCAATAAGTTAAGATTGCAACAAACTTACTCAAGGTAATTATGGACATAGACCTGCGTGCCACAGTAACTGAGTTGTATAATTCGACAGGCAATGAACGTCCTGGTTTACATTTGAGATTGTTCTGTGAAATTTTGTCTTCCATTTGATTACAGGCTGGTGCATAATTTGGAACCATTACCAAACACTGTCGGTCTTCAGCATCCCTTCCTGTCTCAGCTTTCTCTTTACTTCCCTCCATGCAATTGGGGGGAAAGAGAAATAACAGATTTCAAACAAACTCCACTACCCTCGATGTTGCAGCCTATTTCATAGTTTCTATGCGACCACATGTAAAGAAACTCAGTTGTTTTTCCTATGCACACGTGACCATGGTTGTGTAACTCGAAGAGCCAGACCCAAAGGCGGCAGCACCTCACAGTCCCTGCCTGCCGGGCTTGGCTGTGCTTTTGCTGTTGGCTACAAAACGGGGTTCTCACTTTGCATCTGTCTGGGCTCACGATTCTTTTAGCAAATGTGGTGATGTAAACGACAACATTCACCTCCTCAGCTCCTATCATGGGCAGGCCCTCCTATGATAAGGTGAACCATCAAAAGAACAAATACCTACTAGGCTCCGTGCTAGGCACTTGACATGATCATCTTATGTGCATACAGTAAACCTGTTTAAGTAATTAGTTGTAGAAATAGTAAAGTTTTTCATTGCTCATGAGAAACCTCAGATCCTGTGCAACTTTGGGTCTTTCAGATCTTTCAAACAACCTTGAGGTTGTAAATGATTAAAATTCGTTCCTTTCTCCTGATGGGATAATAATAATACTTTCAGCTAATCCTTTTGGTTAGTTACCATGTGCTATGTGTTGTTCTGAACACTCTATGTAAATCCATTTATTTAATCCTTCTAAAAGCCCTATGAAGTAGGACCCTGATCCCTGTTTCCAGGTGAAGAAACTGAGACACAGGGAGACTGAAGTCACTTTAAGGCCACACAGCGAGGAAATGCAAGCGCTGGGAGCTGATCGCAGGCAGTCTAGAACTTCTTTTATCCAGCACACATTTTTGCCTCTCCTGAAAGCAATTTTACTTGTGTCAGTAGAACACACCAGGAGGTCAAGACTTTTCTCAGAGGATAGTCACTCACTCAGGGTACAGTCTCAGGGGCAGCTCGCATACTCAGACGTCATTCAAATGTCAGCACAGCTTGGGGCTTCTTGACCTGATGTCTTACCCTCCCTGCAGCGTGAACAGGCTCTGATTTCTGGGAGCGGCCCCTTCCTGGGCATTCCGAGTGATGTGGGAGCACGGCTCTCCAGCTCCCAGATTTCCCGGTGTCACTTTCTCCCCAAGGGGGCCCAGCTGGCAATGCCCATCCTACCCCAGACCGCACCCACCTTCAAGCCGAGGTCCAGCTCCCTTAGTGAGCGCTGCATCTCCCGGGTGAGGGTGTTCATGCGCTCGCACTCCTGGAAGGCCACTACCATGTAGGGGGTGCGCTCCTCCATTCTAGCCATCAGCTCTGGGAGGTTAAACTCGTCTGTCACTCGCTCCAGTATTTCTTCCAGGAGGGCCTTGACCTGCCCCACAACAGGAAACACAGGGTTCAGAAGGGGCTCTAATGCTCCAGAAGGACTACCCTCTCCTGGGATATGGCACTAAAGGTGCTAGTCATTCATCCCCTGGCCATACTCTTGCCTGGGTCCGGGGCTGAGGACCAGCCACAGGGTGGCCCCTCCATAGGCTGTGACTTGTGCGACCCACTTTAAAAGATGAGCGCAGATGCCTTTCCAAGAATTGGGAGTTGGGGAACCCAGAGACTGACCCAGTTATCTGCGAGTATCAAGCTAGAAAGGCATAGAATGGACTTGGGCCCAGGGTGGTCATTCTGGGCCCCATGAAGCTGCAGTGATGAATATAAATACATTCCAATCTGCGTTTCCATGAGGCTGCATAGGGGTTTCTGTCCTTGGGTCCTGGAAGAAGCATCCCCATCTATCATGTAAACCTCCTCTCTCACCCCATGGTTCTTTTTGCCACACAAACTGTCAGCTAATTAGACCAGCACAGCTAGCACAGCCAGGATCTCTCTCCTGGCAACTGGAATTGAGGCACCAAGATACTGAATTATTTTGGGACAAGCACTTGGAGGCTGAGTCTGCCATTTTGAAGTAAATAAGTAAGCCTAGGAAGTCTGTCAGAAGAGAAATGAAACAAGTGTGGACGTAACAGAACACGTGGCCAGCAGCAAAGGATGGAGGGAAGGAGGGAGGAAGCCAGCAAGAGAGAGAGCTAGGCTTCCTGGATCCTGAGAGCTGAGCTTCAGACACAAGGAGTGGCTGTGTATTGTTTTTGCCTGTTCATCATCTCTCTCCTCTTCCTCTTAGCAGGTCCCTCTCTCCTTCATGAAACGACCTCGTCCCCGTTGTTTGGGGATAGAGTCATGGGGCCTGGCCTCTTGTGACCCAAGTAGGTCAACCAGATTATCTGTTCCAGGAGCATAAAAATTTGGATCTCAAGCCTGGGATTCAGGGACAGAAAGTGGCTGGAGCCACTGACAGGACGGAAGTGCCCTGAAAAGACTGTCCTCTTTTCTTTCTCCCTGGGCTCCAGGGCCATTGTGGTTCTGTCCTTTCTTAGGCTGATTCCTTTGATATAGTGAGCTATTTCTTGCCTATTTCAGCTACATTGGTCTCTGTTGTTTGCCACCAAAGAACTCTGACTGAGTTAATACAGTTCTGTTATTTATGCATCACCCACGTGAATTTTAGCAAGTCCTTTAGGCCTCAATTTTCTGCATCTATAAAAATTTCCAAGAACATCTTTCTCCACCTGCCCCCTCGCTCCCAACTCCCAGGGCTGATGCGAAGATCAAATCCAATGAGTTGTTGAATGTGGCAGAATCTGAAAGCTATGAAAAACTATATAAAAGTAAAGGATTATTAATATTCACTTTACCTTGTATTGTTAACATACAATACATTCTCTAGGAAAAGAGCTGATGTTAGAAAAAAAGAAAGTAAAACTCATCACACTGGGTCTCTGGTGCTGTCATAGCAAAAACTGGAATGGAATTTTAATGGTACCTGAAGGCTGCTGCTAGGGTAAAAGACAAATGGCTGAAATTATATCATATTTCTGTCTCTGGAGCGGAATTTGCAGGAACAGCCCTGTAACAGTGAGCTGCCATTTGCACATTATTCACAAAGAGATGAAAAGATAGTTTGGAGGCATCATTCCAAAATACACTGAACACGGACACAATTCTATTCTGTCCCTGGTCAGGCCGTGGAGGATTTGGAGACCAGCCTGAGGTCAGAGAAGGCTGTTTGGGATGAGAGCAGATCCACAGACACAGACAGACAAGTTCCCGCATGTGCTCAGAGGAGTCCAAAGGCCCCTTCCGAGGGGAGGGTAGGTCCCAAGAAATGTGGTCTCCTTTATCTCCATAGACAAACACCTCTGCCATTTTTTCTTTTAGGGAAAGTGACAAGTGCTTACCATAAAAACCTAAACGTTACAGATCCATATGATATTAGAATCAAAATCCTCCCACAAATTTTCCTCTTCCCTCAAAGGGGGAAAAAAACCTAACTAACTGTTAATTTTTCAGTTTATAATTTCTGCAAGTATTCTTCGATGCACATAGCTCCATCCATCCATCCACCCCTCCCATATTTATCATGTCTGTGATATCTTCCTTCCTGCCTCCCTTCTTCTCTCTCCCTCCCTCCTCCACTTCTCTTTCTTTCTATCACCAATGGAATCATACTACACATAGCTTTTCCAGCTTGCTTTTTTCACCTTATGATAAACCTTGGACATATTCCCTTGTTAGTACATGTGGATTTGCCTCGCTTTTTTTAAAACAGTATATATTATTTCACTGTTTGGCACACCATAATTTATTCCCCTATTGATGGATATTTGGTCTGTTTATCATTTCTACTATTATACTATAAGCAATCCTGCAATCAATCAATAAAAACATATCATAAAATCTGTGCACTTTTGAGTGTTTCCACTGCTTGAATTGCTACATATAGAATTATGAGGAAAAAATAGGAACATTTTAAATTTTAGTAGCTATGGTCAAATTGTCCTGTAATTTAAACCTCTACCAGCAGAGATGTACCTATTTTCTTATGCCCTCATCACTGGATATTATCACATTTAAAAAGCTTTACCATTAGGTGAAAAATGATATTTCACTTAACTTCATTTAGTTGTGAGTGACATTGATAATATTTTTATTGGCCATTTGTATTATGATGTGAATTTATTTGGTGTTCTTCTCCCTCCTCTCTTCTCTCTCCTTCTTTTTCCATACGTAAGAACACTTTGCATATTAGCAAAATCTGCCCATTTCCTGGTATCTGTGGTGGTAATAGGTTTTCCTAGTTTGACAAGTGATCATAGTTTATCCATTTCTGAAACACACACACACACACACACACACACACACACACACACACTCCATTCCTTGAATTAGTTGGTAGAAAGGGATAAGGAAATGACAAGACCTAGAAGCTTCTCTGTCAGCTGAAGAATTCTAAGCCTATTACTTGTATCATCCCAGCGTTTTTCATTTTTAGAGCTAAAAACATTTTTCATTCTACATGGTTTAGTTTCTAGGTAACGTAAAATTTCTTCTCTTTCTTTTGTTCTCAAATTATATCTTCTGTATCAAATGGTGGAACAGTCTGAATAGTGTGATTTAGGGCAGCTTTCTCACAGTATGCTCAGCTGCATCAAAACTGCTAGGGTGCAAATTCCTGGCACTAACCCCAGACCTCAGAATTTCAAGCTTCCTAGCTCATTTGGAGGCATATTAAAATTTGAGACCTACTATTTTAATGACACCAGTCCATGCCTTAAACAAAAGTCCAGCTCCTCTAGTATCAGTTTGTTTTCTAAAATCAATCCCTGGAGTCTAAACGTTTGGTAATTCCCCGGGTTTCTTAATCTTTAATCTTCTGAGTAGGTTTCCTTGTAAGCCTGGTGGAATCTCTAGTTACAGGAATCCGGACAGTACTGTGGAGTGAAGGTGGGGTGAAGAAGGTATCATCTCTCAGAGGATGAATTAGCATGTCTCAGGAAAAACTTCACAGAGAAGTTTCACTTTACTGTCCCATCCCTTTTCTGCCCTCTGCTGCGCCCACACGAGACAGGGCCCTTGTGTTGCCTTCGGTTGTCCCCAAACTCAAACTCACCCTAGTCTGCTGTTCTACCCCATAATTACCCTCCACCTTCCTGAAACTTCAGGGACTCCTATGCTGAGTAGCACTTAACTGTGTGTTAGGAGACTGTCTGATTGAATGGCATCCACACAAAGAGAAGGCATTTTTGTCCTAAGAGGATGAGTGAATCCGAGTGAGCATCTTGTTGGTGGAATGAGGGTGGCAGTGATTACCGAGAGCTTCCCACCCACCCTTACTCAGTTTTCCAACTAATCACAAAGTCAGTTCCAAGCTTCCCAAACCACCGCTGTTCAGCTCGCCCTTTCTTCACTTTGGCAGACAAACTGAATTAAAACGGACTTTGGGTGAACCAGCAAAGCAAACTGCCAAACGCAATGGCAGGGACTTCCGATGATGTAACCAGACAGCCTGCTAGGTGGCGCGATGGGGGAAGGGGAGGGACTCTTGGAGTCGAAGGACATGCGAGAGGAAGGTGTGCCCGGTGTAGTCTGTGCTGTGAACTGGCAACGGGACCAGTGGGAGAGGAGTCTCCATCTGCAATCCTCAGCTCCTCAGCGTGATCTCAGACAGTCCCCTCCATATACCTTTTCTTCTCTTGTGGCCCCGGCTCCACCTCCAGCTCGGCTATCCCGGGGCTGCAGCTCCAGCACCGTGCGGAAGAGTTTTTCTGAGGTCTGGGTCAGGAAGCCAATCTCTGCGTTGGGGTGGAGGCCATAGAGATACGGGGACTCCGGGGGCAGCTCGGCATCAATGTACTGAAAGACAAGGGCAGGCTCACTTAAAAATAAACCAAGACGTATGTCCCATCTCCCACTCCAATTCGTACTCCAAAGGGCGGCCCGTGGGCCCGAGTGGGCCTCGCACACCAGTATCCATTTGGCCCTCCAGCTGAACGGGGCTCACCGACACCGGCTGACATCAGCGTGCTCCCCGCCTGTTTACACCGCCTTTCTGTATGCGGGGCCAGTTTTCCAGAACTTCCACATTCATGGGGTCATTCTCTGTTTCGGGAAGCTGGGAGGACTGTATCCATCTCCAGTCTCGCCCCCTCCCGCTGCTCCCCGATACACAACTCCCCCCCACGGACGTCTCAAAGTCCTTCAGAAATACTATTAATAAACCCTACTAGGTATTTTTACTCAAGTTCTTCTAGGAGCTCTGACCTCTTCCCTGGAAACTCCTTTCCTCTCCCTCTCTAACTCCATCAGGGATGACAAACCTAAATGCAAACACGAGACCATGTATGCACAGTAAACGTGTGAACTGGGATGGAGGACTCGGTGAGCTCTGCTGCGAACTGGGGAGTTCTTGCCTCTGGTGAAAAGTATTCAAATTTAAAACATTTTAAACAGTGTGTTCCCCCAACAGCCCTTCCTAAAAAATCCTCCTCAGCGTTCAAGGCTCCCTTTCTTCTCCAAATATTCTGATTACTTCATTACAATTCTTTCTATTACAGCGAGAAAATATCCCTCACGTTTAGCTTCTAACCTGACTTGGATGATTTCTTGGTGTTAGTATCATCTAGTCTAAGGATAATATTGCTCATTCCTTAAAGGCCAATTTGCGTGTTTATTTTTGTATTTCTTCCATCAGCCAGCACACAGCTGGACTTCTTGGTAGGTTCTCTGTAACCATCTATTAACTGACAGATTAAAGGGAGGGATGACCAGAAGGAAAACCTACCTCAGTCATTTGGAAGTGTGCAAACCATGCTGTCCTTCACCTACTCCAGCCTCTTGGCAAATTGCTTCACAGACACTAGGGGATGCTCTTGCTCAACTTTATTGGCGAAAGCCCTGAAGCCTTTTATCAAGCAGTTTTTAAAAATTCCTCTTATTGTTTTTAATTTATTTTCATGGGTCCAGTTTTTCTGGATCTAATGACTTTTTTTAAAAGGAGGAAATAACCAAATTTGTCACTAAGGTATTACACATATGTGGGCTCCATAAGAATGTGGGACCTGAGGACAAACCCAGCAGTTACGGCTTACATGCCATCCTGAGCTAAAGAGAAGAGGTGGGGTGGGTGCTGTGGTGTGTGACTTCAAAGGGAGGAAGGTAGTTCACATGAAAGCAAATGTTTGGTAAATAAATGCGTGCTGGGCCATCTTAACATTGGCACACAGAGGGCTTTGATCCAATGGGCCTTGCTAGGTTCCTCCTTGTCTATCACACCTAGTTCCTATTAACCTACAGTTATCTATGATGATGGTCCCTTCCTGCAGCAGGTCCTCTAAATTTTTTAAAAGATTTTTATTAAAAATATAGCTAACATACAATATTATGTTAATTTCATGTATATACCATAATGATTCAACATTTATATACCTAAAGAAGTGATCACCATGATAAGTCCAGCAGCCATCTGACACTGTACCACGTTATCACAATATTATTGACTATATTCCCCATGCTGTACATTACATCCCCATGACTTATTTGTTTCATACCTGAAAATTTGAACTTCTTATTCCCCTTCACCTTTTTTCCCCGTTTTAATTTCTCAATTACAGTTGACATTCAATATTATATTAATTTCAGGTGTACAGCATAGTGATTACACCTTTATATAATTTAAGAAGTGGTCCCCCTGACTAGTCTAGTACCCAGCTGGCACGATACATAGTTATTACCATATCACTGACTACATTCCCTGTGCTTGACTTTACATCCCATGACTATTTTATAACTATCAATTTGTACTTCTTAATCCCTTCACTTTTTTTACACTGCCCCCCAAACCCCTCCCATCTATTACCCTGATGTATCTAGTACCCATCTAACACCATACATAGTTATATTACTGACTATATTCCTTATGCTATACCCTACATCCCCATGACTACTGTGTAACAACTAATTTGCACTTTTAATCCCTTCCCCTCTTTTCACCCACGCCCCCTCAAATCCCCTCCCATCTGGCAACCATCAAAATGTTCTCTGTATTTGAGTGTGTTTCTGTTTTTGTTGTTGTTATTTTGTTCTTTAGATTCCATATATAGTGAAATCACATTGCATGTGTCTTTCTCTGCTTGACACTCCACTCAGCATAGTACCCTCCAAGTCCATCCATGCTGCTGCAGATGCCAAGAACCCAATTCCTTTCCTGGCCAAACAATATTCCATTGTACCACTTATTCTTTATCCATTCATCCACTGATGGACACCCAGGCTGACTCCACATCTTGGCCATTTTAAACAATGCTGCAATGAACATATAGATGCACACATCTCCTTGAAATAGCATTTTGGGTTTCTTCTGATAAATACCTAGAAGTGGGATTATTGGGTCCTTCTTTGTCTTCTGTTACAGCCTTGGTTTTAAAGTCTATTTTGTCTGGTGTAAGTATTGCTACCCCAGCTTTTTTGTTTGTTTCCACTTGCATGAAATATCTTTTTCCATCCTTTACTTTCAGTCTGTGTGTGTCTTTCAATCTGGAATGAGTCTCTTGTAGGCAGCATATGTAAGGGGCTTGTTTTCTTATCCATTCATCCATGTCTTTTGATTGGGGGATTTAATCCATTTACATTTGAAATAATTGTTAATGGATATGTAGTTATTGCCTTTTTATTATTTATATTTTTATATGTTTTTTCTCAGTCTTAAAGAAGTCCTTCTAACATTCCTTGTTATATTGGTTTGGTGGTGATGAACTCCATTAGCTTTTTCTTATCCAGGAAGCTCTTTATCTGTCCTTTGATTCTAAATGATACCCTTGCTGGGTAGAGTAATCTTGGTTGTAGGTCCTCACTTTTCATCCCTTTGCATATTTCATGCCAATCCCTCTGGTCTGCAAAGTTTCTGTTGAGAAATCAGCTGACAATCTTATTAGAGCTCCCATATAAGTTACTAGTTGCCTTTCTCTTGCTGCTTTTAGGATTCTCTCTTTGTCTTTAAACTTTGCCATTTTAATTATAATGTGTCTTGGTGCGGGCCTGTTTGGGTTCATCTTATTTAGGACTCTCTGCTCTTCCTGGGCTTGTATGTCTATTTCCTTCACAAGGTTAGGAAAGTTTTCAGTCATTATTTCATCAAATAGGTTTTCCATCCCTGCTTTCCCTCTTCTCTTTCTGGTACCCCTATGATGAGAATGTTGTTATGTTTGATGTTGTCCTAGCAACCTCTTAAACTGTCCTCACTGTTTTTATTCTTTTTTCTTATTTGTTGTTTCAATTGGGTGTTTTCTGCTACCTTGTATTTTATTTCATTTTTAAAAATTATGTATTTATTTATTTTAAAGATTTTATTGGGGAATTGGGGAAGGAAACAGTGTTGGGGAATTGGGGAAGGGAAACATTGTGTTTTTCCAGGACACATCAGCTCCAAGTCAAGTTGTTGTTCTTCAGTCTTAGTTGTGGAGGGCACAAGCTCAGCTCCAAGTCGAGTCGCCATTTTTCAATCTAGTTGCGGGGGGCACAGACCACCATTCTTTATGGGAGTTGAACCGGCAACCTTGTTGCTTTAAGGGCACATGCTCTAATCAACTGAGCCATCCGGCCACCCATCAGCAGCTCAGTGGCAGCTCAGTTCAAGGTGCCATGCTCAATCTTTGTTGCGGGGGGTGCAGCACACCATCCCATGCGGGAGTCAAACCAGCAACCTTGTTGTTCAGAGCACACACTCTAACCAACTTATCCATCCAGCTGACCATCGGCAGCTCAATAGCAGCTCAGCTTGGATGCAAGCTCAATGGCCCCTGTGGGAATCGAACTGGCAACCCTGTAGTTCAGAGCTCATGCTCTAACCAATTGGGCCACCCGGCCACACCTACCTTGTCTTTTAAATTACTCATTCAATCCTTTGCTTCATCTAGTCTGCTGGTGATTCCTTCTAGTGCATTCTTCATTTCAGTTATTGTATTCTTCACTCCCGACTGGTTCTTTTTTATGGTTTCTATGTCCTTTTTTATGCTTGCTATCTCTCTGTTGAAGTTCTCACTACTAAGTTCCTTGAACATCCTTAACAACCATTGTTTTGAACTCTATCTGGTAGGTTGCTTGCCTCCATTTCATTTAGTTCTGTTTCTGGAGTTTTCTCCTGTTCTTTTATTTGGGATGTATTTCTTTGTTTCCAGTTTTGGCTGCCTCTCTGTGTTTGCTTCTATGTGTCGGGTAGATCTTCTACATTTCCGTTTTGGCCGGGTGGCCTTATGTAGTAGGTGCCCTGTGGGGCCTTTGCACAGTCTCCCTGGTCACCTGTGCTGGGTGCTCCAGGAATGTCCCTTGTGTGTGTTGTGTGTGTCCCCCTGTTATAGTTGAGCCTTGATTGCTATTTGCACATCAGTGCGTGGGATTGACCCTCAGGCTGACTGGTTGTAGGGTTTGGCTACATGCACAGCTTATGGGCTGCTGTGCAGGAGGCTTAACCCACTGAGTGGGATTCTCCCCAGTGGGCTCTGGTGCCTGCTGAGACCGCCCCTTGTGTGTAGCACTTGTGGGGCCAATTGGGTGGTGCTCTGCTATGATCTGAGGCCAACCTCCAATTATCTTGGTTCTGTGGCCTCTTGCGCAGGGGGAGGAGAGCTCCAGTGCAGGCTCAGGTCACTGATGACTGGCTGGGGACTACCTGGTAGAAGCTACAAAGTGATTCGTGGTTGTTTGCTGCCTGTGCTAACCCTGGGGCCACATGGGAGAGGCCATTCTGTGAACTGAGAAGGTCTGCCACTAGTACCTGGCCTGGGGTAGCTCCACAAAATGCCAGGACACCCTAGTCCTGCTACCACCTGCCAGCTCCCATAAGGTTGATAAATCCCTGTGTGGTACTCAAGCTGGGTGAGGTGGAGGTCTTGGGGAAGTCACCAGGGCGGGATGAGTGGTGTTTACCAGGTTAATGTAGATTCTGGTTTGGTGCCAGTGCTGAGCCTGGAGCTACTCAGCAAAAGTCTCAGAGCACACTGCCTGCTTGGGGTCCTCAGAGCCCCAAAAATTGTCCAAGAAAGAATGCAATGTGGGCAGGGCTCACTGCTCGCTTAGAAAGTGCCTCCAGTGTTGGGTGTGCTCGGTAGGGTGGGGTCCCAGGGAGTCAGCAGGGTGGAGGGAATGAAGCTCACCAGGCCAATCTGGTTCAGATTTGGCCATGGGTCTGTGGGGAGAGCTCAACACAGAAAAGATGGCACCCACCAATCAACTGCTCGGAAGGACTCCACACAGGGAAAATGGCGATGGTCCTCCAGTCCTGGCTCTGAAGCCACACAATTTGGTCTTTCCCCATATGTCTCTGATGTCCCCTGAGTCACTGTCCCTTCACTGGAGCCCATGGTGAGTGACTGTGAGTGAGTGAGTCTGTGCACGGGCACTTTAAGAGAATGTCTGGGTTTTCCAAAGTCTTCTGTCCCACCTGGATGGTTGGAATCCCCACTGTTTTTCACAGCCAGATGTTGTGGGAGCGCCTCTTTCCAGCATCAGTACTCAAGGCTGGGGAGCCTGGTGTGGGGCTGGGGTCCCTTGATCCTCAGGGGGAACCTCTATGGCCGAGATATCTCTCCTGATTCTCAACTGTCACACGGAGGTTTGGGACCAGCCTGTTTTGTGTGTCTCCACTCCTCCTATCAGTCTCGATGTTGCTTCTTCTTTATATCCTTAGTTATAAACCTTCTGTTCAGCTAGACTTCAGATGGTGCTCCAGGTTGATTGGTCTATAATTTAGTTGTAATTTCAATATGTTCATGGGAGGAGGCACAGTGTTTACCTACTCAGCCATCTTGGATCTCTCCTGGATCAAATGACTTTTATGACTCAGCTTAAATTTTTTGAATTAAAAAAAAAATTGAAAGCTTGTACTTAATGTTTTTATGACCAGTATTTCTTTAAATTTATTATTTAATGTCCTTTTAGTTATATTAAAAAGTGAAGCAATGGAAAAGGTTTTTTAAAAACAATATCTTTCAATCTATTTTCCATGGCAGGTCAAATAGACAAAGATGAGCACCTTAAAAATAGCTGTAGTAACAGTAAAATGAAAATCCAAAGTAATATGAAAAAGTTCCATTTGAATGTTTTTCTTGGTATGTTTATATGGGCATGTGAACCTATGTTCATAGCAACCAACAAAGAATAAGAAGGGTGAGTGATCTGCCCACAAGATCATGTCCTTTTTAAGATATTTAGAATCACTAATATAAACTCTAGAAAATCTGGCTGAGTTCTTACCTGAAATTTTGCTCCTAATGGTTTTATCAATATCCTGAATGAAAACAATCAAATGAATGCCCCAGATGTTATTTGTAGAAAGGAGCAACAAATAGAATTATTGAACCAAACATCAAGAACAAAAAGATCTCCAAAGGCTCAATTGTATCATGAATTTGAGGCAGGAAATGCAATAGCTCTCAAAGTGAGCAGGGCAAACTTGGGGCTAAGAAACACACTTATGATAAGCTCTGCTCTTTAAGCCATGCTTTCCTGGCCCTGTGTAAGCATCCCTACGCTGTACAGGGCAGCACTGAAGGAAGACCCAGGCCCCACGTGGGCACCACCATGCCGCCAAGAGGAGAGGGCAGAGGCTTACCTCATGGTAACCATTGTAGTCCATGTTGCCTGGGAGTGGAAACCCTGGGGCCAGAGACAACTCTCCTTCTAGCATTTCCGGTTTAATGAATTCCTCCAGATAGGTCTTGCAGAGTCTCCTGTCCCAGTCATCAGTGATATGGCCTCCATACATGATCTCTCCAAAGAGGTAACGCAAATCATCATAGGGGACCTGAGAGTCAGGGAAAGAAAGAAAGATCTATATGCAGGCATGGGTGCTGGTCTATAAGCTATAAGATGGGATGCTCCTTGAGATCAGGAGCGGTGTTTTAGTCACCTGCATATCCCCAGTGCCCAGCAGAGTCAGGCATGTTTGCAAGCTCATTAACTGCTTGAAGAATTACATCAAAGGGTAAGGACAGGTAAGGTGCCAACCCCCTTGCATATATGCCTTCCCTCTCTCAAGGTCATTAACTGTGGCAATGAAGTTTAGCTCTACCAACAAGCCCTTTAAATAGGCAAATGGAAGAATATGAGGCCCAGGGTACTTTTCTAATTTCCTGCCATTAATTAGATTGATTAATTATCTCCTTTGAAAGTCAAAAGTGAATGAGATACAGTAGGCAAATTTACTGGTGTTGAAGTTAGGGAGGGAAGTCCCTGGGGAAAGTCCTGCCGAAGTGTAGCAAAAGAAGGGATGGAGTTGGGGGCGGGGGCTTCCTGGGTCCCTGGAAGGCAGAGGGATTGCTTAGGGCATCTGGACTTGACTCCTTTCCCCACCAGGAGGAAGAGGAAGCCTTGTTGATGCTGTGTTTGGCCTATGAACCAGAAGAGCTTTGATGGAGTGAACAGTCCCTTAAATGGAAGAGCATGGATTGTCAGTGTCAGTTTTCTTTGAAATAGAGATACCAGACAGCATGAGCGGGAATTTGGCTTCTTCAGTTTTGGCAAGGCCATCCCTACGTGAGGAGCTAGTTTCCCCGGAGAAGTTCTGTGTCCTTGGCTAACTACATTGGGAACCTATATGAGGTGGGTGTCTTCCGGCCAGTCCGCAGTCCCCTCCACAGTTGTACACTCAGGGGTGGTCTGGGCCCCGGAACAAACTCTCATGGGACTGACTCACATCGGGTGTGAGTCACAGGTTTAGTTTCCTGTGCTTTTGTGGTCCTCTTCTCGGCCTCATGCTGGTCCTAGGGTTGGCCCACCATCCTTCTCAGAGGTGGCCCTCCAGCCCTACCCCTGAGCTGGCTGGAAACATTACCTTTGCATTGGCTTCCAGGAAGTTGTAGAGCACGTTCACAGAGATGGTGAGGTCCCCAATATTGAAGGGGTAGGAGCGATTCCATCCCTGGGGCCCAAACTTTCGTCTTTCCGCCACAACCGCGTGAAAGTAACAAAGAGCAAAGAGGATGCTCTTAAACTCCGTCTCCCGGGAACACATCTCCAGGGTGTCCTGAAAGGAAACGGGTCAGTCCAACGTTAGCCCAGAGCTGCTGTTCTGCAGGCCAGGCCAGGGTGTGGGTTAGGGTTGCTGGGGCTGCAGTGGACAAAGTTACCTAGTTAGGGCTTGAGCTACATATGGTAGGGACTATGGGTTGCATTGTGGGTAGGCATGGGCTCAGGGTTTGAGAGGACCTTGCTGAGGGTTGGCTTGTAGTTTAGAATCTGAGTTAAGGTTTAGATTCCGGTTAGAACATGGTTTGGTTTATGGTTAAAGTTTGCACATAGGGACATGCTAATTAAGTTCTCAAGCACAGCTAAAGGAAAACGAAGTAGGGACCACAGGAGTGTCGCATTTGTCATATTCATGTCACTTTGCACCGGAGTTTGGATGGGGACTCCTACAGCATCATCTCTTCTTTCTTCCTTTCCTGCCATGCTTTTCTTGGCCATCACGGAACCTTAGTAGGTATAATTACTGCCTGTGTGACTGAGGAATTCCCGGCTCATCTGCTGGGGAAGCTGCTGCAAGCAGGGGGAGGCGGGGACTCAGAGCCACAAGAGGCAGAGGAGTGGCGGACCCTTCACCATCCTTACTGCTCTGCCAAGCCTGAGCAGGGGTGAGGGGACACGCGACTGCAGAAACAAGAGCACTGAGGGGTCCGGGCTGCAGAGCATAAGTCAGGGGGGAAAGGTGTGGCTCGTGAAGAGAGGGTGAAATAAGGGACAGATGGAAGAAGAGAGAAGCAGGAGTTAGTTGGGACGGAGGCAGCTGAACTGCGCTTGGTGATAACAGTGGGGAAGGGGAAATCTGCATTTTGAAGGGATGGTAGGATAAGAACCCCTGGATTCTTTGGAATTAAAAAGTTCCTCTGAGTGAGGCCCTCTCTGCTTAGAAAGGAGCAAGATATTGAAGCTGGAGCCCAAGAAAGGCACTTTCCAAGCTCACACACATCAGATTGGGTTCAGTCCCAGTGTCTATCCTAAGAACTGGTCCTTATTCTTTGCTTATATGGGTGGGGAGAACACAGGACACAGGACAGATTAAGCTTCTGGTAGGTCTGACTTTTTTCATGGAAAACCCATGACACCATCTCATTTTCTCTCTGGCTATGTGGGGACCACCCTGGTGCCTTTGTTGGGTACCATGTTGGCCACAAAGGTATGGATGTGACAGGTCAGAGGTGATGCAGAGGACAAAGTAACTGCCTCATGCAAGCAAACATTTATTAACTGCTTTCTGGACAGAGCCGTTCTCTACAGACATGTAAGGTACTTCCTTTGTTACCTTTGACATGTTTGAAAAGAATGGGTCTGGCTGAAAAATGCCTCTAAGCCTGAACAAGAATCACATATTAAAATGCTGAAGCTGGTTGACAGGAGCACACTCAAACAAGTCAGAATAAAATAACCATCCCCTAACAGCACAACTATCAGGGAAGCAGGACTAAAAAGAGCTCAGTTCTGCCATTTGTCCCTTAACTGGTTAAAACAGGACTCTGAAGAGAGTGGATAACAGGACATATTAACCAGGCCTCTGTTCCAGGGCACTTGTAAAAGCAGAATGAAACAATTAAAACGCTTGTGAACAATGAATATACTCATCAACCTATCCCTCTTTCTCAGAATAAGTGACTGAAGATGGCTATACATGGCCTAAAACCCAACTGTGGTAAGGACAGAATAACCAGGAAAAGCTAGCATCTCTTGGGATACATTTCCCAGGTGCCTGAAAACCAAGACTGGACACTGGGCTTGTAGAGACATAACCCAAGAACAAGGGCCCATGGGGAGGCTAAAGATGAAGTCAGGTATGGCTATAGATGACAATAATCCTACCACAGCAAAATATTAGGATATTCATTATCAGGAGATATAACACATGAGGCCTCCACTGCCCTTGTCCCTGCCTTTGTCCATGACCCACAAGGCAGAAGAGCTGGGAATAGTCTGCCACGGTAGTGTAATAGAGCTCACTAACTATATCCCAGTGCCTTGTTTTTCAACCTTTAATATGAAAAATTGTTCAAATATCCATAACATAAAATTTACCACCTTAACCATTCTGAAGTCTACAGTTCAGTGGCATTATGTGCATGCCTTCTCAGGGCAGAAATGTCTGTGCTTGGAATCAGCTACAGCTGTAGATTTCAAAGTTCAGCATGTGTATCTCCCCTACATAGAATATGAAATCTAGAAAATTTAGAAGTTTTGACCCCTGATACAGAGTACCTAAGAATTTAGTCAAGGTCTACTTAGGAAAAATAAAAAAGAATGAAAAAAAAATGCCTCTGGACAAGAGCAGCCTCCCTTTTGTTCCACATTGTACTGGGCAAGTTAAAACATTCCAGATCTCCTGGTCATATTCCCCCCTTCTCTGTTCCAGATTATGTGTGGGTTTGAAGTTGGGTTGGGAAGGTGAATGAAAAAGGAGACCGGACAAGTTTCACTTCTGAAATCTTTGTGGCAGCTTCCTGCCCATACTGGATGGCTTGATTCCGACATCAAGAGGGATGTCATGCATTCAGTAACATCTGAGACTCTAACCGCCAAATGGTCTTCATCTTATTTTAAGTTAAACTGGTTCCTAGGGGGTCCTTGGTCCTGATGGTTTCTTGGGCTAGCTAGAACAGTTGTCGCCTGGGATGGTCTGTTATCTAGATGACCCAGCTGGGACTTGTGGTGAGTTTTGCAGGGGTTCTACGAAGCTAGAGACCCACTGATGCTAACATAAAGCCTTCCCAACAGATCCTACAACTGTCTCCTTGGATATCGCCAAGACCAACATACTGGATGGACTTGAAGGTGGCCTCTATGCCCCCCACCCTCCTGGTAGTCACACCTTTATGCATTGCCCTTCCCAGGAAGGTAGAACTCTCCCAGGAAGAAGCAACAAGAAAGGATGCCATCTGAGAAGATGAAAGAGGCCTGATCAGCAGACTTCGCAAGTGCTATTTTATATATGGAGGCAGCCACCCATGGGCTTGGTCTTGACTTTTAATAAACATTCCACAACAGGAGTCCGAATTCCCAGAAATGGAAACTCCACGAATGTAGGACCCTGCATTTGAAACTATTCTTAGTCTCATTGTAGCATAGTGTTCTAAGTTGACGGTGCAACAGAACCCCTGGAGAGCTTGTTAGAACACAAATAGTTCAGGAGGTCTAGGTGGGGGCCTGAGAATTTGCATTTCTAACAAATTGATGCCGACGTTGCTGTCCTGCAGGTCACACTTAAGAGTCTAACACATGGTAACATTCTAAGTCCAGATCCCTACTGCCTGACCCCTAGATTATCTGAAGCCCTGTAACTCAAGCTGCATGCAGATATTAACTATTATCATCTAAACATGAGGGTCAACCCCCTGCTTGAAGACAGTATGCTTAGCCGATACATGTGTGACCAGGATATCATATCAATTAGATTTATAGTAATGTGCCCTTTCCCATCCTGGAATATTTAGTTAACATCTGGACTTGCAGAACATTTCCCCACACCTCTTGCCAAAGAAAGACCCTAAGCTCGGGTTCCCCAGGTGTATCAGGGAATTGGGAGGTGGGTTGTGCTGAGTAGGCACAGGGTTTAGGTCACTCTCAAAGAGAAGACATTTTGTTCCCATCGGGCATTTCCCCACAGCCCAGCTGGCCCCCACCCCACCCCAGCTGAATCAGCGGTGAGGCAGGGTGCTCTTCTCGCCCTCCTAGGCCGTACCGGAGTGAAGTTGTCCAGGGCCTTGTGCAGGTTGGCACGCATGCCTGTGGGAGGCTCATTGGTGATCTTAATGGAGTTCTCCAGGATGCCCTGGGGGATGATGTGGCCCTCAGGGGAGGGCGCAGGCTCTGCACTCATGAAGACCCGGAACTCTGGGTGGCTGTTTTTGCTGTGCTCCTCCAGCTTCTTTTCCAGGGTGCTGAGCCACTTGGCTACCAGGTGGATGTTCTGTTGGGAAGGAAGTCCCCCCAAATACAGGCGTCTGCTTAGTTCTGCTGGCAGTAAACAGTTACCAGGGAAGCAGCTAGAAGAGGGGCCTGGCCGTAGCTTAAAATGAATCACATTGCAGCATGAGTCTTGGGATGCCCAGAAATGGTGACCTCCTGGTATCCTGCCATTGAACCTTTTCCCTCATATCTTAAGTCTCTCTAGTACCGTGTTCTCAAACTTAATTATGCATCAGAATCCCCTGGAGGGCTTATTGAAACAAAGATTCTTGGGTCCCACCCAGAGTCTCTGTCTGATTCAGGAGGTCTAGGGTGGATCCTAAGATTTTTAACAAGTTCCCAGGTCATGGTGATGCTGCTGGTCTTGGGGCCATGTTGTAAGAATCTAACACGTGGCTACATCCCAAATCCAGATCCCTACCATCTGATACTTGGATATTTGAACTCTGATGCTCAAAACTGGGGCCCATGGACCAGCAATGCTTCCATTACCTGGGAGTGCGTTAGAAATGCAGACTCTTAAGCCCCACCCAGACTTACTGAATCAGTGCATTTTAATAAGATCCTCCAGTGATTTGGATGCAGGAGAAAACTTGAAAAGCACTGATTTAAACTCCTTCTAGCTAGCTTTCCTGACTCCTTTCTGTCTCTCTCCAAACCATTCCACTAATTGTTTCCAAACGTATCTTCTTACACACCCAGTCACGGCTGCTTGGAGACGCTCCCTACTCCAAGCCCAAGACCCTCGTTATGTCTTTGAGCTCTTCTCTTCCCATTGTAATTTCTATTTGTCTGTCTGTCTGTCTAAACCTACATATATTTTTAATACTACTTTGCAGAATACACCTTTTACTTCAGTAAGAATAGTCACTTTGCTTCCTTGCAAAGTGTTTCATTACGATGGATAGAGAAAAGCTCCTCGATAAATATTTGAGGAAGCTTGCTTGCAGAGCCTTAAGTACACAGAACATCACTGAGCACAGTACTTGGACCACGGCAACCTGGTCTCTGAGTGCTGTTTTCTCTTCTATAAAAAGAAATAACAATAATATTTGCCATACTCATTTCACAGAGTTGCTACAAATAACCAAAGGTAATGGATTTGAAAGGCCATTGTATACTATAAAATGCTATGTAAGAGTTAGTGTGGTTGTTGAAATGAAAATACAGTAAACTAAAGAATTCATTTATAATCTCCTTGGATTGGAGACTTTAGTGGGCTGCCCGAGAGCCAGGAAGTGCCAGCAACCCACAGGTGAGTAACTCTGTGACTTCACTGGGAATTTCAACTTCTGAGTTTAATCTTGGCGAGCTCTCAGAAACCACATCAGCACCAGATGTGGGGGTCCTGGGCAGCTGGTAGGTTCTGGGGGGAGGAAACACTCCCTGTTCATTGGCTGAGGGCTGGCTTCCCAAAGGCACAAGTGCCCAGAAGGGGGTCTCTGTGGCAAATGAGCCTGACACAGCTGTGGAGATCACACTTCCCAGCACCATGCTGATCCTCATGCGAGGAAGCAGGAACCCCAGATGTCGCCATCTTTTCTATGAGATTCCCACTGTTTCTGAAAAAAGAGTCCCAGGGGATGGCAGCTCCCTCAGCTGCTAGGCTCCACATAAATAATAGGCTAATTAATGAAGACCCAGCAGCAAGATGAAGTGCAGTGAATAGCAAAGAGAAAGGGAAGCTCTTGGTAATCAAAGTCAGGACAGGATGGGAGTGACTGCCTTTTTCATTTTTTTTTTTCATTGATTTCTTCATTGAGTGCTTTTGTTGAGTGTCTACTATGTTTGCAGTAGTGTGCTGGGTGCTTAAAAGTAAATAAGGAACATCTCTTTCCCCAAGGAAATTCAGTGAAGGACACATCAATATATTAAACCATCTTGACGTAGCCATGAATGTGCTAATAGAGGTGGTGGTAGGACGTTAGAGGAGAAGAGAGGAGTGAGGCACTTGCATGGCCACAGCCCCAGCATCCATACAGGTTGCATAAAACAGGAATAAGAGGACAGGCCATGAAAGAAGGGTGGCCTTTATTTCTTGTAAGTGTTCAGTGAAATTATCAGCAGTGGGTTATCCATATTTCCAAACACTAACATGCACTCTCAATGACAAGGCCAAGCTCTAGTTACACAGGCAATGTTCTAGCCATGCATGTAACAGAGAACAGAAAACATGTAACACAATAGAAAAATACTGCAAGGGAGTGCTATGAAATCCATGGGAAGAGATCAGCAGCCAAAAAAATCCAGCTGCCATGGCCTTCGACTGAATGCCAACTTTCTGAATATGCATCAAGGTAGGATTCGGCTTCCTTTTGTAAGGAGAGCTGTTTAAACCAGAGTGGCAGTAGCAGGAGAAAGCGGAGAGAACAGGAGTTATTGGGGGTGGGGTGAGGAAGATAACATAATCAGGGAGGAGAATTGGACAGAGAGAAGAGGAGGAAGTGAAGGGGGCAAGGATGTGGAAGGGAAGGTGGGTCAGAGGGGAAGAGAGGACAGAGAGGCCCAGAGCCTGTGATATGAGGTCCAGACAGGTATGGGGTCAAGAACGACCCTGATCAGGGCAGAGGGGCCATACCTGCAAAATGACCCAGTGACCTTTCTTCGCAGCTAGGTCCAGCGCAGCCTCAGCCACTACCTCCTGTCCTTGCCCCAAAGACACGTTGTGAAAGTTCCGATTGTTGAAGGTATATCCGAGTTTTTTACCTACAAGGAGTATGGAGTTGTCATTATTATCTTTTGTGTCTAATGATCTGTATTGTTTAATGTTCATAAGGAAATACACACCTCCATATCACTCCTCAAACACAGGCTTGCCTGAACCCATATCCTGAGCCTCATATACTGACTTTTATCCTTCACAGCAGGCTATAGTTGCCAGCTTTCTGTTCCCAGAAGGAAGAAAGCAGTCATCTAAACCAAAATTGCTTCACCCGCCCTCCTCCTGAACTCCCAACAATGCTGATGTTCTTCTGTAAACCTTTCACTTGAAGGCCAGGCCTTGGTCCATATTCCTGAAGAGTGCTGGTGTGAAAGGCCTGAAGAGTAGCAAGCATGTGGATGTGGCCCTGTCTGACCTGTTTTGTCCTCTGAATAAACAGAGGGTGCCCCAAAAAATGTATACACATTTTAAGAAAGGAAAAAAATGTATTAAAATTGTGATAATATATACCAATAACAAAAGATGACTACAAGTCATGTTTAACTTCTGCAATTAGAAGAGGTGCTCAAATATGCATCAGCGTATTTTTAATACAGTTTTTTTCCTTTCTTAAAATGTGTATACATTTTTGTGGCACCCTCTGTATATTTTCTCTGGAATTTTAATGGGATGTTTGGCTAGCAGGCACAGGATTCAGGTAGTTCTGGCTTTGCGTACTTTACGCCATATTAACTGCCTCCCCTATTAATCCCAACACATGGGAAAGTTTTATCTCATCATTTTGCAGGAATTAAGAGTGAAGAGAGGCAAGAGGGAAGACATGATGGGACTTGGTTGCATAGGTGTAAATGGTCTCTTGGATGTATTTCGATAACACCTGTTGGATGTTGCTGGTGTTGGGAATGGAGTAAGGGAGCAGCTACAGCAACATAGATATCACAGCCACATCACTGGAGCAAGGCCAATGCTTGTGAGTTGTTCTCCAGCCCAAGGAAAACTTTACACAAAGAAATGACTTTAATACAGTGGACCAATTCTACTTGGACATCAGCTATTAACCCAATATAACAAAATTTAGAGGAATTACATAATATTCTTTAGACAAAAGGGTCATAAAATGTATAATACCATGAAGGAATTATTGAGCAATTTTTCTAAGAAGGTGAAGTACACAAGATAAAAGAAGAGAAACTTTTAAAAAGAAAAAAATCTGTACTTAAAAATTTTAGTTGTAGAGGAGCTGAAGTTGAATATGTACTTGTGCAAGGAAATTTAAAGAAAACTTTCAATACTGGACATGTCTTTTAAATACTAACAAAAGTATAGACTCTCCTTCAACTGGATGAGACAAAGCAAGATGATGACTTTTTTAGTGAAGGATAGTTATTACAGATTCAACTGAGATAAACCCAAGAAATACCCTTATTAAACTCTATAAATCCTAGCTGGCAATAGATTTGATGTCAGCTTTAGAACCTGGGATATAAACAATTTATTCCAGAGAAAATACCAGGATAAAAGGTACTGGGATTATTAGATAACCTTGGTGACATTTCTACTTACAAAAGGGCCTATTTTTTTTCTTTATTAGAAAGAGGATATGGGAAAAGAGGGGCTTAAAAAAGATCAGTTTGAAAACTACAGACTGGAGGGATCATTGCCCGCGGGCAAAGTCTGGCACTGCAGAGCCACCTAGGCTCTGTTTTCATTAATCTAGGCTTCAGGCATGATGGTCAGGCTGAAGAGAAAGAAATGGATCTCCGAGATGATGAGAAGGGGAAAATCTGACAGATGTGTACCGACTGAACACTCAGCTAAAGATAACGGCACCACATGTGAGCCTTATCACGTGTCAAGCAACCTTGCCGGGGTCTTCCATTTGCAACTCCGAGGCTCTCAAGGCACCTTTCTGGGTCATCAGCAAGGCCCTCCAGACAGTGGCGTTCTCTTGGGGTTTCACCTGCATATTGTTTTGTACTCTGGCTTCCATGTCCCCATCCCCACTGCCTTTAACTTATCTTCCCCTTTCTGATCTTCCTTCTAATTCTCCATCTGGTGCTGTCATTTGGAACCACGCCCCATGGGAGACTGCCTTTAAAATCTTCGCAGCATGCTTCTTTGACTTTTCATCTCTTTGAGGACACTGCAACTTCTGTGGCCCTCTGCCTAGTTCCATATACCAGTGGGCTGGGAGGAAGAGGAACATTTTCTAGCCTTCTCTTGCTGTTTGCAGGCTATTTCTTCTCCATTCTCATTAAAAACAAACAAACAAACAAAAAAACAAACCCACGCCAGCTGGCTGTATTATCTACTAACTTTTTAATATTTGCTGCCTTCTACCAACTCTCTAGTGAGATTCATATTTATTAGGGACTTTGGAACTTGTTTTAAAATCTTCCACACTTCCTGCTTCATCATTATCCCAGTAAACTTTAAGGCACTGTGTCATGCAGCCAACATCCAAACTCATGTTTCTTCATCTCAAAGAACTTAACTGTTTCATTTCTGTTATTCACTCCCAATGTTTCACCGAGACCTTTATTATCAGTGAGAGCTGTCCCATTTCGGGAACATTATTCCTTCATATCTACTCATGACATCACTTCCTATTGTCTGATTGTTTACTCTCTTACTCCCACATCTCCTATTATTGCAATTCGTGAAATGTCCAGTCCATTGGCTCCTCTAATTTTTTTCCTCTTATCTTTACCTTTACCTTCCTCTTGTTTTAATATGGACCAATAATCCTTAATTTGAACCATGATCTTACAAAATACTCGACTCCATTGTCCCCTTCTACTTCTGCATCTCCCAACTTTTGTAAAATCTCCACCCTGAACAACTCTAGGTATTAATTAAAGAAAAATAATACATTTGGTGAATTGGAGCTACCACGAGTTCAAGATTCTCAACCTCAATGCTGTTTGGTAATCTGTCTATGACCCCAGAAGTTGGTTATATTGCTCATTTTCTTCTTCCTTTAAAATTCTGAATGGACCCCACCCTTCTGCTCAGCAGTTTGTTTCACTCTACTTCCCTGAAAAAATACAGGCCATCCAGTAGAAATTCCTTCAATTTACTTCCTTTTTGCCTGCATCTCTGAACATCCCTACTATGTCTCGTCTCCATTTCAGTGGAAGACATGTCCTCTGTCTGCCTATCACCCATCTGTTCTCTAAATCTCATCTCTTCTTGTATCCTCAGCCTTGAGGATACACTCTATTCACTCTTCTGTATCCTGGCACTTCAACAAATGAGTCTTTCTGAACACAAAAAGCAATAATCTGCCAATCTTGAAGCTATTCTTTAAAGATCGTACTTGCTCCAACCCAACCAACTTTCAACAAACTCTTAAAGAAAAGAGAATGGGGCCAGGAACAATAAAAATGAGATTCTAAGTAAGTGTTGATAATCTGATGCAAAGACACTACCTTGAAAATAATTTCTTTGAACACACCTTGTAGCAGGTCTACAGAAATCTAACGGAGTTCCTAGTTCTGACCAGAACGTTGGAAAGAGAAAAAGGAGGCAGTGAAAGGCAAAGGTGGTAGATACAGCTTCTTTCTGGTCCTAAAATGGAAATAACAGAATTTCTTTTGTCAAAGCCAGATAATTAGATAAAGGAAGGTGGAGACCAAGCAAGATCACTCTAGAGTCAAGTGAATGAAAGAACAGAGAAGATGCCTGCATAAAAGCAAAACGTGGAAGTCTTCTTGTTGGGATGCCAAAGACGAAGCTATGCTTTGGAAGGGTATGAAAAAAGATGTAAAGAAAGGAGCAAACTGGGCTGCCTCAAAGAACAGGTCAATCTTCATCGTCAATATAATGCCATACAATGCTACTGTACTTTTAGCCTTTCAAAAACCTTTTCACATCTGAGATTTCATTTTTATCCTCACAGTAACCCTAGGAGGAAGGTATTACTGGTGGTTGGAAACAATGGGTAATTGCTTTTAGGTGAAGCAAAAGCAAACATTATTGTGCAAATTTGGCTCACTTAGGAAGAAGGGGATGAGAAAAAAGACAGAAAGAGGGTAAAATTGATTCTATTAAAGGATTAATCTGAGAAGGCAGGAAGGAAAGCAGTAGGGGTGGATGGTGGTATGTTTCCTGTTAAAATAGAGGCCAGGAAAAATGGATGGAATTTCTTTGTCCTCTTTCTCTCCCCCTTCTTCAAAATTGTTGAGTAAAGAAAATCCTGGAGTAGATTAACAGGCACAAAAGTGCTAGAAAAGCATAGATTCCTAATCAAGTGTCAATGAATGAGCTTCAGGGGTTTAGAAAACTCCCAAAATCATATACAAAATTTTGTTTGTCTGTGGGTTTATGCATTTTGAGAGGGGGTGGCACTTTGAAATGCGGGTGAGGAAACAAATCTTTCACCTGACTCTTAAGTTTTTAAAACTCTGCCCTATAGTAAGAGCTGCCATGATGAAATAAAGGGATAGAGAAATGAAGTAGTTAAGACTAGAAATCACATACTTAAAGGTGGGAAAAGATGCCAAGCTTTGATAAGTCTAACTGGAATAAAACAGTAAACTGTTTGACACAGTCTCTGTCCAAGCATAGAGAGAGTACATTTTCTTAATAAGCAGGGGCTAGGGGAAATGGGAAAGTGTTTGGGTCAGTTGTGTGGATTCCAAACTTAAGAATAGGAGCCCATCAGGCACAATGATTAGATCCAAGATGCAGAAAACATGGATGTCACCCGAGTATATGTTCTAAATGGGTGCATTAGAAAACAAATCAAACCATCAGGGGGAGGAAGAGAAAAAGAAAGCGGCACAGATGCCTAAGTAATCTCTCACTGATGAGCAGCAATATTGCCTCCAGTAAAGAAATATGTGTTAAGATTAAACCAAGGGCAGGGCTGAGATACTATTTTCAGAGACAAACACCATGGGTTAGGGAGGGGTCAGCTTGCCTGAAATGACAGAAAGGTTCAAACTACATGATGGAATACCTGGAGGTCAATTGGCAAAGAACAGTAGGGAATTGCTCATGAACAAGGCATATAAAAGCTTTCAAAAGGAAAATACTGAATAAAAATGAGGAAACTAGATTTATCAATATGAAAGAAATGAAACCCCCAGGGGACAGAAGAACTATAGAACTCTCTAAAAGGGTGAAAGTCAGGAATAACTTAGCTGTGACAACAGCCATAAAAAGGAATGAAGTTCTGATTCATGCTATACCATGGATGAAACTTGAAAACATTATGCTGAGTGAAAGAAACCAGCTACAGTAGACCACACAGGTGTATGATTTCATTTATAGGAATGTCCAGAATAAGCAAATCTTTAGAGTCAGAAAGCAAATTGGTGGTGAGTAGGGCTGGGAGGTGGTGGGATGGACTAGAGCAGGGGTCAGCAAACTTTTGAGATGGAAGAGCCGCCAGGGGTCAGCAAATTACGGCTTGCAAGCCGCAGGCTCTGAAGTAAAATTGAAAATGAAAATAAAATATCATAGTTTCATTTATAAAATATTTAAAGGATATTATTCACATAATGGTGATTACGTAAAAATATATTTATGGCTCTCAAATAGTTTTTCAATTGTTGTGAGGGACAGGATTGGCTCTTCCAGGATTTGGCAAACTTTTGAGACGCAACATACCCAAAGAGCCGCATGGGGCTCGTGAGCCGCAGTTTGCCGACCCCTGGACTAGGGGATGACTACTAACAGATATAGCCTTACTTTTGGGATTCCACTGTGATGATGGTTACACAGCCAAGTGAAAATATTAACAAATTTTCAATTATATACTTGAAATGAGTGAATTGCATGACATGTGAATTATATCTCAGTAAAGCTGTTAAAAATTTCAGAAGGGGAGAGTCTTGGTGGAGTTCAATTTTTATTTTTCACATCAGGGAATAAATAGATACTGAAATACATAAATTCAGAAAAGTGATGAAAGATTATTAGTAGGAAATAGAGAAGTATTTCTCAGGAGGACTAAATTCAGAAATGGGCAAAAGCACAGTGTCTGGAAAAGGGGACTGGGTGTGCGAAGCGTCGGAGTTGGGAACTGTTGCTTTCCATTTTAAATTCTATATTATTGGTATTTTAAAAAGTATTTAAAGTATTTTAAAATATGTTACTTGTGATTTTTAGGATATTACAAAAATATATATTAAATTAGTGAATGAGAGGATTCTTTCCCTTATACTGATCTTATCCATTCTTTGGGGTCAAGTCAGCATCATGTCAACTACCCCCAAACACCAGGCATATGCTGTATGTTCCTTCCATTACATAATAATAATAGACTGGCCATGGAGTTGTATTACATAGTCTGGATTCTTACCTATAAAGGCTTGGCTCTATAAAAGCCCATCGGGTCTTTATTTCACTTTGCAAAATGTTGTAGTTTTGATTAGTCATTCATTTGCTTATTCTTTCATTTAACATATATGTTTACTGAGTGCCCATCATATGAAAAGCCCAGTGCTAGGAACTGGGGACTGGTGAAAAGGCAACCCAGTCTCAAAGAGCTGTCATTCTCATAGAAAGGCACAATTGTCACTAGACAATTACAATGTGATGCACAGAAAGAAGGGTGCTCTAGGAGCACATGGGAGGGGGCCCTCGCACCTTGGAAGTCAAGTTGGGCTTCCTGGGAATGGTGACATTGAAACTGGTATGTGAAGGATGAGTAGAGGCTAGCCTGGTGAAGGGGATGCTGGAGGGGAAAAAATTGGGAGAATGGGATGGCTGCTGTGTAGAATGAAAAAGAGGGAGACAGGGAAATGCAGACAGGAAAATGAGCCCCCAAAGGTGTCCATGTCCTAATCCCCAGAACCTGTGAATATGTTACTCTACATGGCAAAAGGGACTCTGCAGATGTGATTAAAGACCTTGAGATGAGGAGTAATCCTGCATTATCTGAATAGGTCCAGTATAATCACAGGGGTCCTTACGAGGAAAAGAGGGGGGGCCCCATTTATTAGTTCAATTTGCAGAAGTGTAAAATAATAGTGGTCTTTTCAGACTCTGAGTTAATGGCAATTTGTTATAACAGCAATAGGAAACTAATATCAGAAACTAGGCTAGAGAAATAGGGAGGAACTGGAGGACAAAGTCCCCTGCGAGCCCTACTAGGAAGTCTGAATTTCATCCTGAGGGCAATGGGAGCTGTGGAAGGATCGTACTCGAATTTCAGAAGGGCCGCCCCAGCTACATTAAGGGGCACGGGTGGGTGGTAGCACAAGGTCTCCTTATGAACCTGCTACTGTGGATTCTACCTTGTAGGTTCAGAGCCCAGAGCAGTCCTGTCTCTGGACATGATCCCTGCTGTTGGCTCAGCAATGGCCTTGCTTTCTGTACGGTTAGCGAATAGCGAGTATTGCATAATGAGCTTTGAATCTGGAACAGAGAAACTGACAGGTGCAAAGAGTGAAAGTGCATGGGGCTGGGACAGCCTTGCCACCATGAAGAACTTTTTTCACCTTGATTTTCCACGTCCTTCAGTGGGTCCACCCCTGGAGACAGGATGAAAAACATGGGAGTGGCTGGTCCTGATTCTTCAAATGAGGTTGCGAAGTCTAATGCTCTTCCCGCCACGTATTTGCTTCCCAACGTCTCCTCAACAAAATGTCTGCCAGAAAAAAAAGTACATCAATGTTTATTAGTCACAAAATAATAACACTAAAGAAACAGGTCTCTAGAAATGAAAGGACTTGCTCAAGGTCACAAGCTTGCTTGTTACAGAGCTAGGACCAACTCCAAGCACTAGTTAGTAAGTCAACACAACCTGTGCTGCTAGTTGCCAGCCTGCTCACCTAGCTCTAAATCCCCCTCCATCAGGCCACTGCTGACTCCTCTGAAGCCTGAGTGACCTGTCTCATCACCCCCATCCATCAGAAGACTGCCAGGATCAGTGCCTCTGACAGCTTGCAGGCAGCTAAATCCTCCATACTTCATATCCCTGTGACCCTCCATTCCTTCTCACGATTTACGGCCCTCCAGGGTTCTCTCATTTTATATCACTCTCTGTTTCCTTTCACTTACTCCACTTACCAGTGCTCCTTTCCGAAGTGTCCCATTTTCTACTAAACCAAACCTAGAAGCTGCAGCCACTTACTGACCATCTGGCCCAGCTCCTGGCCTTAACTCCCCCAAGGACTCTATTTTCCCTGAAGCCTTCTCAGTGGGGCTCATTCTCCTACATCTGATGTATCTCAGGACTGGGAGGGGATCATGGTCCTGCTCACTGATAGTGATTATTTCGAAACCATTGCTTCTCCACTCGTATAGCTCCACTGAGGCTCCTGTCCCCTGGCTGAATCACCACTACCCCTGCACATCCATGTCATCTGTTGCTCCTTTGGTCACTCCACTAACTCACTGTACACTTGGACATTTGGCTCATGCATTTTCCCTCTAGCAGCCTGAGTGACATCCATATCCATGTGGACAGTCCTGCAGATTCTTAACAGTCTCCATTTCTTCCCCACTTAAGCTGTCGGAGTCCATGGCCACACCCTCATCCTTGTCATTACCTGGAACATTTCCTACATCTGAAACCATAAATGGAAACACCCGACTTTCTGACCCAAACTTTCTATCCTTACACTTCTTTTAGCAATCTATCCTTACTCCACTGATTCTCTGCTTGTATTCGAGCCACTACAAATGTAGGATTTCCAGTACCTTGGTCTCCCTGGCGTGTTTTTTTTTTTTAAATCATCCCTTTATTCTCTTCACTTCTTTTCTATCCAGTGTAATGTCCTTGGCCTATAAATTATTATTTTTTTTAAAATACAGCTTTACTGAAGTATAATTGAAATAACCATAAAATTCACCCATCTTAAGTGTACTATTCAATAGCCTTCTAATAAATTCACTGAATTGTACAGTCTTCACCATAAGCCAGTTTTAGGACATTTTCGCCCTGCCAATAAGGTTCCTCATGCCTGTCTAGATAATTGCTATTCCCACACTCCAGCTCCAGGCAACTACTAGTCTGCTTTCTGTCTCCATAGATTACACAGCCTAATGCTTCTAATCATTCTCTTGCCAATACCTCATCTCCCTCACCTAACTGTTATTCTAACACCCCAACTTGGAAAGACCCGTCCTCTACATCATCTTAAATCTGAATCTACACCTGGGCTGCTGTGTGCAAAGTCGTCTAATGGTGAAGTCTGGTGTCACTACAAATGCAGGATCTTAACGTGGTGGGCCCTCAATGCTACTCGAAATTCTTTCAGTTTCCCTGGTCAGCCTTCTCCCGTTTTTCAAGATCCTATTTCAAACCTTCAGCACTTTCCTCAAATCTCCAATCCTGCCACCTCCCATTCAACACAAACTCAACCGATGATCTTGCTTTCTACTTCTCAGAGAAAATAGAAGTCATGAGGCAAAATCCTTCTTAACTTTCTGCCATCCTTCTACCACCCTAACTACAACCCCACCCATCTCTCGCTCTCTCTGTGATGAAAGAGATGTTCTTCCTGCTAAGGATGACCCTTCCATCTGTTCCCTGGATCCATCGTCTCCTGTCACATTAGATGTGACCAGCATCCTTCTCAATAGTGATATTGATGAGTATCTCTTTCCAAACTGTCCAGCTATTATAGATATTAAGAGGATGTATGGCAAACAGAGCAACAGGCCTCATGGCATTTTGGATGTTGGTACAAAGGCTCCCATTACTAGAAACACAAGGCCTCTGTGCTCAGCCCTGCTAGTCTGGCCATGTTGAGGTTGCTCCATGCCTTCCCCAGGCCTCCCACAAGCCCATTCCCTACCGCATGGCGTAGGTCATCCGGTCAGGCCGCATGGCTCTCATCATGCAGAGGCGCTGCACGGCTGTCTTATTCTTCCACTCCTGTGGGAACTTCTCCTTCTCAGGACATTCTGATTCCACAAACTTTTTCCAGCTTTTGGCAGATCCCTCAATGTCCCTATCCAGATGACAGAATTCTTCCATGGATGAAAGTGCCTAGGGAATTTCAGAGAATCTTGCTCAAATTACAGTTTCTCAAAATTGTAATTTGCATTGTGTTGGGGTTGAGGGGTAAGATGGTATTACAGACATAATTTTGCCCCATTTATACTCTTTTCTGGAGCCTTGACTCTTCCTCCAGGTAAACTCAAGGAAGAAGAAGGATTTTGATCAGCTCACCTTTAGCAAACTGCCCCAGTAATACACAAGGTTTAGTAAATAAAGTTTATTACCAGCCGCAGAGACTGAGCAGCACCTGCTTGCAGGGTATTACATGGAGAAAGGGACGAGAAGGGAAGCCATGATTTTTCTAGTGATGGAACCTGGACGTTTTAAGTCTCTGACTCCTCCCTTTCATTCCCATATTCACTCTGCCAGCAACTCTTGTCAATTCATTTCTCAAAATGTCTCCAGAATCACTGACTTTGTATTAATGCCAATGCTAAAATTTCTAGAAATTCCGTGCTTCCATGAAGATTACGTCCAAATGCATAACTTGTTAATCAAATCTCTTCCTTTACTGCTTCCCCCCAATCATTCCAGTTGACCAGGGAGCCTACTGTCAAGGATGTCTGCTCCTAACCGTGGAAATGTGCCAGACTCATTTCCAACTCCATTCCTTGCTCCTTGTTCCCTCTACTTTCACCACATCAGAGGACCTGTTCTTTTGTCCACCAAATTCTACTCCTTTATTGTGCTGGTCATGATAGATTATTATTTGTTAATCTTCTACAAATTGTTAAAGTCCAGTTCAAAATCAGCAACCTCCCTCTAACCTAGAATACAGCCCTCCCAACCCTTCTTTTGTGGACCACAGAGTTTATATCTTTAATAAAGAGCTTGGCACAATTTTTAGATGTTTGACTGCTGATAGCTTTTAGGCCTTATTCCGCTCTCTTCCTCTTCTGGACAAGCAGATAAGTAAGCCTAGGTACTCCCTCTTTGGTGCTGGAGGAAAGTTGTACCATGCAAGCCCTTGCCCATGCACAGGAACTCTCACCCTGGCTCCATCCTCTAACTTCCATTAAAAACCCCAACAGAGTCTTCTTTCCTGGCTCTCAAAGCCATTCTCTGACTGATTGGGAGCTTCTTTGCTCTCTTCAGAGATTCTCATTATATGAGTAATAAACTTTTCCATACCCTCTTGGATATGTGTGTGGCATCATCTGTCTTGACATTGGAACCAAATTTTAGGTGAGGGGGGGACTATCCTGTTACCTCAAAGTGCCCACATAAACATCACTCACTCAGGCACTGAGTTACCTGTAGCCTTTCCATTATTCCTCACCTCTGCTTGTATGTTTCGTCTCTCCAAGGAGATTGAAAGCTAGACTGTGTCCAAAGCACCTACCACAATGCCATGGATTTTAAGAAATTCACATATTCTTGTTATTTGAATTCAATCATTCATTCACTTATTCATTCATTTGATATTTACTGAATGCCTATTACATGCCAGGTACTTGAGAATACAAAGGTGAACAAAAAAAGACACGTCTTCAAGGAGCTTATGGCCCTGAGTTCAAGAGAAAGAAGAGATGAAGGAGACCTTAGTAGGCATGTAGAATTCTACTGGGCAGAGATAGAGGTAGAGAGAAGCGAAGGGCATTTTATGGGAAGGATCAACGAGAGCCAAAGTCTAGATGGGGAAGCATGTGGGGCCTGATAGAAAGGAGTGTGACTACAGTAGAAGAGTCTTATAGGTGACAAGGGGAAAGTAAAGTTGGAGAAGGACATACACACTTGACCTGGGCTTGCCTAGGCTCTTCTCCTGTGGATGAACACCTGTCCTGTCTTTACGTGCCCCATGATATGGGCTCTGTGGCTTCCCAACATTACCCTCACCACTTAAAACAGAGAACACGCCTTCATTCATGGTGAGAAATGTCATGGAGTCATATGTAATATGGTGGGGGAGGCACCAGGAAACGAGTGTCCTGGTCCCAATGCCACCTCTTATGAGCCTCTTATGACTTGGACCTGTTTTTAAAGCTTTGTGGGATTTGATTTTCTCATTTGGAAAATGAGGTCAAGTAATTGTTGTCTGTATAGCTTATACTCTAATGTAGATACAAGTGCTTTGAAGACTCTAAAGCCCTTCCTTGTGCTTCCTTGGGGTTCCTATAGTTATTGAACTGTGATGGCTGGTTTATTCATCTGTTACTCCCACAAGATTGTGAGTTCCCTGTGGGCAAGAACTTTCTTAGTCATCTTTGTATGTCTCAGGCCTAGCAGGCTGCCTGGCACTTAGGAAATGCTCAATTAATAAAGTTTGACATCTGGGTGGCCAGCGGGAAGGCTCTTGACAGGCTGAGGAAAGCTGCAGCTGCTGTAATTATTTCTCTCTGTGTTGAAGAACTCACTTTCATCTTCTTTCAGGCAGCCACTTCAGCCCCTCTTTCCAGCATGCATCATCATTAACCCTTCTGCGGTCCCATTACCCCCTCTGGTGTTACCACAAAACTGAGCAAATTACACCGTGCTCATTGTTCCCAGCTGCCATGACTGGGTCTGAAACACACTGTCTTGAAGCTCTGGGTGGAACACAATTGCAACATTTAATCTCCCAAATGAGGGAAAGGCACTTCTAGCCTTCTAATAAGCTAAATGGAAATGACTAATTAACCTAATTACATTGGACTGTGTAGCAAAATACAACTGTGCTAAACTGCCATCCAGAGTGAGGTAGTGAGGGGCCTTCAAAGGCTAACAGAGGCGTGCATCACAGATGAGATTTTCTAGTGAAGAGCAGAACATGCCCAATACCTTAAAGTTCAGTATTTGATGAGATTTAAAGAATTCTTACAGAGGATACTAATAAAAGCATTATTTTATCACAAAGGTTTCATTCATTACCAGCCTATTGGTTCTGCTGGGGAAGCAAGGCAATCCATCTTCCTCATCAGATAGAATGTTTAAGAAAATTTTGTTTTATCATGTCCTATTCAATTATACTTATTTTGTTTCTTTAGGCAAAAATCCAACTGAACACTTAGAAAGAGCATTCATCAAAGGCTTCAACAATGTGCACACACATTGCATTGTATTTCACCTGCTCACATCCTGTGCTGTGCTTGAGTTCAATGGGGCTGGACTTCGCTGCTCCACATAACAAAACTCAGAGAGAGAGAGAGAGAGAGATAAAGCTTCACTCATTTGCAAAAGCCTTGGAACAACCAGATGAGTTTAGCCCACAACACAAAACAAAAAAGCAAAGTGAAGCAAAGCAAAATAAACAATCCATTTTGTGAACAGGCATGGAACTAAATTGCACAGTAGCTTTTGAGTTGTAAAGAGTGCTTTTGAATGATTGATTCTTTATGATTCCTGCTGCAGAGGGCTTTGTGGGACAATAGAGAGAAAGGCAAATGAATTTGGCCCAATTGGGCAACTCATAATTCCTTAAAGTTTTTCCTTCTACAGAAAAATTCTATCAGGCACAACTCATATAAACAGCAGCACGTATACACTTTAGAAATGGGTAATTAATCATCATAACTCTGATGGGGTGAACCGTGTCCCCCAAAAAGATAAGTTGAAAAACTAACATCCCAGATTTGTGAATGTGACATTAAAATAGTCTCTGAGTTTCTGGTCAAGATGGCAGAGTAGGTAAATGCTTTACTTGCATCCTCTCACAACCACATAAAAATTACAACTAAACTACAGAACAACCATCATTGAGAATCACATGGAGTCTAGTTGAACTGAAGCCCTACAACTAGGATATACAGAAGAAGCCACTTCGAGACTGGTAAGAGAAGCAGAGAGGCAAAAAGGGCTGATCCTACACCTGCATGTGACCGTTAAAAGTTGGGAGGGATATCTTGGCTGCAGAGGTCCTCCTGGAGGAATGAGGGGTCCTAGCCCCACACCATGCTCACCAGCCCAGGGTTCCAGTGCCAGGAATAGCAGTCCCCATAACTTCTGGCTGTGAAAACCAGCAGAGATTGTGGCTGAGTGAGATGGAGGGTAGCTGGAGTCCCAGGTGATCCTCTTAAAGGGACCACACACAGACTTACTTGCTGATGGACTCACTTGTTCTGAGCTCCAGCGCTGGAAAAGCAGCTTGAAAGGCACCAGGGACATACAGGGAGGAAATGAATTATCTGGCTTAGGGTGAGCTGAAGGGGCAGCTTTCTCCCAGACAGAAGTGCTGGCAGAAACCACTATTTCTTTGCTGAGCCCTCCCCACTCCCAGTGAGTCTCTAAGAACCTGACTAACACTGTTTGCCCTAACCTGGTGACTCCTTAAGACCTCACCCCAACCAAATTTCAGGCACATCCAACCTGCTTCCAGTGGCTCTTCCATACAGACAGTCTGTCTTGGCTTATGCTGTGGACTTTCCTAAAATCTCTCAAAGGTTCACAAAATCCAAACAAGCAGCATCTGGCCTTGGCATGCCCTGTACCTCTTGCTGAGCAGCACTAAGCCTGGAACTAAGAGCAGTCTGTCTCGGTTCACTGTTTGGCCTATAGAGACACTTCCAAGCCCAGCGCAGATGGCTTCCACCTGCATACTGCGTTGTGGCTCATGCCAGGTGGCCCCAGACAGGGCACAGGCCGTGGCAGAACTTGGCCTGCTGTAGGACCCCTCCCAGGAGGTGCCAGGGCTGGCACACTGGATGGCTGGCTTCAGACCAGCTGGATCACCATCTAGCTGCCTTCACAGACAACACACCCAAAGAGCAGACTGGGAGGCAACAGAGCCTGCTAAAGCAAATCCTGCACAACAACTCCTCCATTGTAGTCATGACCAGTCCTCACATCTAACTGGTCCTAGGGTCAATCCCTCTCATTGACATGCAAACAGCAACTAAGGCTCAACTGCACAGGAGGGCACACACAACCCACACAAGACACACACCTGGAGCACCGGGCTCAGGTGACCAGAGAGACTGTGCCACTGGGCCCCACAGGACACCTACTATATAAGGTCATTCTACCAAGACCGGGAGACATAGCAGCCCTAACTAATACATAGAAACAAACACAAG